CTCTGCACTATTTAGTTGTCTAAGACAACGTTTCTCAAGGTTTTTTTTAAACTTACATGCACTTTTATAATTTTGAATATTCTGAAAACAACTTTACTCTTTTCCCCTTCAAAAGCTAATTTTTAGCATGTATTTTAACCAGTATACTGCTGTTTCTTAAATTAGATTAATTAAAATTAATTAAATTTCATACTGATATTAAGTAATAGAAGAAAATTTATATTCGGTTTTAATAATTCAAGGCTATTAGAGTTCGATAATCTTTATCTTATTAATTAAAAAATAAATAAATGTTGGCACTTACATTAAACAGATGGTTGAGCCAGCCGATTCTTTAATAGCTATTCTATTTTTGGATATATTAGGTAAGAAGCACCACAGCCATAGTGCTTTAAATTCATTTTCTGTTGCTAAGATGAAAATATATGTGTACGATAACCGGTAATAAGTTTTATAAAATATCTCGGGAAAAAATATGATAGACGGTTGACATGTATCATTTCTAAACTCTTAGAATTTAAGCTGTAGTTGGGTATATGCAGTTAATTTGAATTTTATTTTTGCCATTTTTCGAAATCTAGAACTACAAGGGTAGGTCTTTAGAACCACTTGTTGTTCGCTGACCACAGGTCGAGAAACACTGGTCTAAGTGGCTCTGTTCGAGCACCATTACAATCATTGGTTTTGGTGCCTTTGCATCAATGGAAGTCTTTGTAAAGGGCGACATGACCGTAAACTGCTTTCGAATGCGTCGATCAAAGCATGCTAACATTCATTTAGATCAAAAGTATCAAACTGGCAGCCAGCGTGGTGTATGTATGCCAGCGTGATGTATGTATGTAGCGTGATGTATGTATGACGTGTGTATGCGGGTCCCAAAGTATTTTTATGCGGCCCTCGAATGCAGTTCCATTATGTATTTGTTGCAAATATGGCGTTCTGAAAATTTTTGTTGTTTAGAGTTTATATTATTTTCATTTTCATTAAAAACGAATTTGAACAACGCGCGAGGAAATCTATGAATATAGTTAATTAATTTACGACGTGATATGAATTTTATTCAAAGATTTCAAGATTCAAATTTCATTAACTTCTATTTGTCAAAAAATAAAGCTCTCAGTAATGAACTTTTGCACTAAGAATAATCGTTTTGTTTGGGAATACATTTGTATGAGAACAATAATCACAGTTGAAAACTGATAAGAAAAGAACCTGATTGATCGGTGAGAGTCCACAATCCGTGATAAAGATAACTGCCAGTTATTTCTTTCATAAGTTAGAAACATTATCACAATCGAATACCGTCAAGTATCAAGCTGTAGTAAGAAATTATATTTTATATCTATTTTTATACAAACATATGTATTTTTATTCATGCGCCGAAGGAAAATTTGATAAAAAGGAGAACGAGTTTGGTTGTCAGTATTTAATATCAAATTTTTTCCTCATCTGGGAAAGATTCACTGAAAACTTGGAAATTTTTCATATTTTATTTAATTTATAGTTTAATTGAAGTAAATTATTTAATGCCCAATTAAACATGCTAAAATTATTTAAAAGGAATGCCAGCTCAGGAAGTTATGGTTTAGCTGTCGGTGCGTTTTAATCTAAAAAAATATAACCAATAAATAGCTTTGGAAAATACCAAGTTTTAGATTTCAGACAGAAAACAAACAGAAACTTGAGTTTTTTACTTTATGACATTGTAATTCTTGTTTACATTAGGTTTTTATAAATGTTTAGCAAGCGATATTTAAAATTTATTTAAAATATTTTTAATTGATCCGAAGGGGCTTTGTCCCTGAGGGAAGACAGTTCACAAAACACGTTTCTGACAGCGACAAAGAGTGCCAACCATTGGCTCATTTGACGTTTCCTTCCGCTTGATTTTACTAACTTACCACGCGACAAACTTCTGTTTCAGATCACTCATATAAATTTTTCAACTCCGACTTCTTTGCAATTTGTATAACTGGGCAACCAAATTTTCATGGTGGTGTATTTTCTCTATCAGGTTGTAAGGATCTTAAGTTTTACTAGCGTTTATTTCATTTTAAAACTTTACTATCTTTTTTTTATCTTCCACTACCGGCCAGAATTAAATGTGTTAACTTGTTTATGCAAATTGTACTTGCTAACGCCAAGTATTTAAGTTGTGGCTTTTTGCCAAGTGTTAGAAAGAAAGAGAGAGAAAGTGATCCGCCTTGCCACTGTATTACAAGCGAGTTCCAATCAGTTGCTGATTGCCTTTAAAGCCAGAGTTTTAGTCCTCTTGATATTTAAAACGCATTGTAGTTTCGGCAGTTTGCGTACTACATACGTAACCTAGTAGTTTTATATTTTTACGTTCAGACTACAAGTGGTTGGTCTCTGTATCCCGAAGTGCGGGAGCACCTGTAATCTTATAGAGAATAAAGGGTAAAGTCAACCCTTCCTGGTGGTGTTGTCCATCCATGTTATAGAGAATAAAGGGTATATTTGAACATATACACTCACGTTTGTGAAAATTGCAACACCAAGAAGGAATCGTCATAATTGAATGCAATTTAATACACAGTTGAGTGGTAGTGGACAAATAAATGATTAAATGTTCAAAGCAAAAAACAATAACAAGAGATTCAGAATCAGTATTTTGTGGCCACCACGTGCCGCAATAAGTGCTTCTACACGACGTGGCATGGAGTCAAACGAAGTTTGAATGTTGACTGAGGAAGAGCATCCCATCGTTGTACGCGTACCCAAAGTCGCTGCAGACGCAACAGGACGAGGATCACGAGCAAGACGACGACCAATGACATCCCACACATGTTCAATTGGCGAATATCCGGGAACACGCAGGCCAAGGAAGAAGGCTGTACTGCTGCGCTGCAAAGAAGGATTAAACAATCCGAGCAGTATGAGGGCGGGCATGTCCTGTTGAAATACAGCGCCTGCAAGCTTTGAAGGAAGGGAACAGCTTCGGGCTGTAGAACTCACGGATATACCGGTTGGTTCAGATTGCCCACAATTCGTAGCAATTGAGATCGTCTATGATATGCTATGGCGCCCCAGACCATAACTCTGGGTGTTCGCCACGTGGCGTTCGATAATGCACTCCGGAAGGTGGCGTTCACCGGCATAGGTCTGACACGAAATGCGGCCATCATGGTACCACAAATTAAAGCGGATTCGTCAGAAAACACGACATGCTGCCAATCAGCACGCCAGTCTCTATGCTGATGGCCCATTGTAGCGCGCGGCGGCGATGGTCGTGCGTAGGGGGATCCTGTATAAGGAGTCCGTGCGCGCAGTCCACAATGCAGCAGACGTCTACGAATTGATGAAGCACACAATGAAACACCTGTAGCTATTGACCACAGTGCTGCCAATTGTCTAGAGGAAGCTATACGGTCCATCGCGCCATGCGGACCAGGTGTCTATCATCGCGAGCTGACGTCACATTTCGGGGTCCACCCGGATTTCCGAGTTGTCCGACACTCGTCCGTCCACTGCTTCCAACGCGCATCACTGTGCTGCTGTTACGCTGCACACGAGAGGCTACTGCACGATACGACAATCCAGCTTCACGAAGGCCGATGATTCTCCCTCGTTTCAAACTCTGTAAGTTGTTCAAATCTCGCTCTCTTCGTCAACGAGCATAAGTACAGATTGAGTAACGTTTTACCACTAGCAGATAACCACCGATAACCAACAGCCTCGCTACAGCCGCTATTATTGGTCCATCAGCCGTTCAGAGGGCGTGCTCAGATACGCATGCGCTACGGATTTGCATTCTATCTTTGCTATCATGCGCTACTTTGCATTTCCTGAAAATTTCAGCTCACTCGCGTAAGTCCTTCATGGTGTTGCAATTTTCACAAACGTGAGTGTATTTGAACTCCTTGTTCCCATTCAGGACACGTCGTGTTCCCGAAGCAGATAAAGAGACATACAAGTCCTGACAAGGTGTATATTGTCAGGTCCCTACTAAGTTACATTTGGGAATCTAGAAGCAACCTTCTTCCACAGGTATTCTTATTCTTATAAGGAAAAACTGGAATATGAGAAACATAAAGGTGATTTTGAGGCCGTTAAAATTCGGTGTCCTAACTCCAGGCCTTGTACCGTCCAGATGGTAAAGCTGTTAGTGCCTCTGATTGCCGTACCGAAGGTCCTAGGTTAGAGTCCCTGAGAAGGTTTGGATGTCATTTATCCGTACTTTCATAGTAGGCAACTGTGGCTCACTTATTAAGTGCCTCAATATTAAAGAGACCACGGCTTCCGGCCTTAGTGGTGGCCAACGCCTATAAACAGTTTGAGCCAGCCGTTAGAAGGCAGAAAACTCCACGCCTTGTGAGCCTAGATGGCAGTTAAGTGGATGAAACTTATTTATGAACAAATACATGTAAATTTAAAACTCTGCCCATCCTTATTTGTTAATTTAATTTTAGTCGAGAATCGATGATTTGTGAAATCGAAATTAGCATTTTGTTATTCTGTAAAATTACCAAATAGTGCAGCATTCCCCCACAATTCTATGATTTGCATATTTTCATTTAATGTTCGACGGTATTTTTAAAAACTAATCCTTTATCACTGTGCAGTTTTAGATGAGCAGCTTCACATACAATGCTTTTTTTTTTTTTCTTTTTCAAAAATATTGAGGGGTCGTGATTGGGATACCTTTCTTTGGTAATAACATGACTAATTTTGATAGACATCTTTTTAAGGGTTTAGAATTTGGTTTAGATACTGCTTTACTTGAATGCATAATGAGATAAAGAACCTGAATCTATATGTTTATAGTAAATAGTCGGGATTGATATTCTTAAAATATCAGTCCTGACTATATACAAAAACCTCTGTAAATTTTTAACAAATATTCACTGTCTCCAAGATCTCCAAGCTTTGTTATAAACACATAAATGAATTGAAAACGGGTAGCTACAATGTATGAATGAATTTCTTTATAATGATAAGTAAAATATATATCTGAGAAATATATGAAAGAGTTAACTTACTAGTGCTAAAGCTTCACAGTGAGCAATACTCATTTTTGATTTGTTTTCACCTTCCCTAAAACAGGGGCTGTCTGCTGAATTATCCATCTGAAATTAAGATAAAATTTATTAAATAATAGAACAATGTGTGATGATCGTTGCTTCTTTTCAGTACCATTTTTAAATTGTAAAGTTTAATATTCAGCATAGATCAATTTGATGAATATCTATTGTAATAGACAAGCGAAAGCAAATCTAACCTGAGGTATTTTAGTCCAAAGGGCTTTGTCCCTGAAGGACTATTGTTTTCGTTTTGCGATTTTGCGTTGAATTACTACAAATGTCCGTTTCACTTTTCAAACTGTTGCCACCAAATGTTAGAGTCCTGTATTATAATTGAAGAAATTAAATAATGAAAAATCTGCATAAATGTATGTCTATTTCTAGTATGTCGCATTGTGATAAAGCAACGGTACATACAGCCATCGAATTTTGAATAACGTAATACTCCTACAAATATGGGCATGTGGAAGACCCAATTTGAAATTTGGAATTTGTTTTATGATCGATTTCATATTTTGTAAAACTTTAGCGAATTTTTGATTTTACAAACTCAACGATTTCAGAGCGAGCTATGGCAACACTCTATGGGGGTAAAAACCCTTTTTATCTCCAGCGCGCGGAACTGTGTATCGGAAATTCTAAAGATAGGCTTATTTTAAAATTATTTTGTGACATTGCTATTGAACTGAATTTTATGGTTTAAGTGCGAGAATGTGATAATTAATAAATAAAGGTAACACACAAAATGTTAAAAAAACGCCCCTTTGGACGTAATTTAAAATCTGAAACCTTTCAGATTTTTTTTTGGGGGGGGGAGTATAAAGGATGTGATGTTTATTTTATTTTTTCGGACCACTTTCTTCTTTTACAGCAAAGTTTTTAAAATTTACTCATTAATAATGTAATTGGATGCAAATTTCTTTCAGACGATCTCATGATAATTAATATTAGGTTTTATGAATTCATGAAAATATAGACCAAAAGTGTTAAATTGCTCTCAGAACGTATCAGTTTGAACTGAACTGTTATTTGAATCTAGATAATTATTTTAAAGCTAGAAAACTAATTTGAAAAAATTATAGTTTTAGAAACTAAAGCTGTATTTTAGTTTTCTATTTTTTTAAAAAAAGCCGAATTTTATTGATTTACATATTGTACTTAAAACTTATTCGTGATAAATAGAAGAACAAATAAAACACTCTCGCTTTCTGTAACTACATGTAGTCAAACGTTTGAAGTATAATCTGGCTTAAATTATGAATGATTGAAAATAAAATTAGTATGATAATATGATAAAATTATACACAATCGATTTTTTTTACTTCTGATTATTTTCCTTTTGAAAAATATTGCTTCAAAGACTAGATTAAGATTTTAATCGAAGCTCTGAATAATTAGAAAAATTATCGATAAGAAACAAACTAATAATTTAGTTGAGTGATTTTAAATACTTTTTGCAAAATTATCTGTTTTAATCACACAATGTTTTCCAAGTAATGCATTCTATATAATATGTATAATGGAAAAAAATTCATAATGTAAGGTGCATACAAATTTTAGTTTTATTGCGTTTAATTAACATACACTCTTTATAGAATACACCATACTTACAGAAATTGATTTCATTTTCGCAATCACTGGTCGTTTATTTATACTTATAGTTACAAAAATGTTTTAAATGACACAAATATCTGTACATTGATATTTTTACTCTATTTTTTCAGCATTTCTTCAGACAGAGTAAATAGGAAAAATTCAAGGTTGACCTTTTTCCCTTTTAAAAATCCTTCACCGACATTTCTTTTCAATTTACTAGAGTAATATTCCTTAATAAATTATTCTGTTACAAGTGGTGCGCCGAAAGAACTTTCACATAAATAATTTATAAGTTCATGAACGTTAAAAATATTTTCATGCAATCTTATTACTTTAGAATATTAATCTAACAATCATGAAAGAAAAAACAAGAAGAAATATTTTCCTTTTTTAATTAATGCAAAAAATATGTTGCACGTATTTTGTAGCATTCTGTGAGAAAGGTATAATTTTTTTATTATAATAAATAGAGAAAAAGTAAATAAAAATTATTTCCTATGAAAATGTGAAATGAAAACAGGTGTAAATCTATACTATTGAGGAAATTAAAATGAAATTGTAAATAATTAAAGTGGAATCGTTAATAAAATGCTAAAATAAAGATTAAAACATGCAAAACTAAGATAAAAAATGTAAAAGACAATTTATTTTTTTTAATTACTTAACGCTTATTGTTAATTTATTTTCCCTCTCTATTCTAAAAAAAAAAAAAAAAAAAAAAAAAAAAAAAAAAAAAAAACTTTTCTTGCAATGTGTCATTTCGAACGTAGCCCTGATGGCACTTACGTAGCAAGTATGTGTAACTAAAACTCAAACTGTCAATAATCATTTTACAGCACTATTAATTATCCACTGAAATGCATTAAGAACCAAAATTAACTCATTCTGCAATAAGATTTTACGCAGAACACAACTGCATTTGCTTTCTACACTTCGGCCTAACTGGAAGGCTGCCTGTTCCTGTCTTGTTATTGCAAAGCTATTAAAAATGCAAACACTTTGATGTAGGCACAAGTAGTGTGACAAGTTGTTTGTGGCCAAAACATATTTTTAAAGTAAAGCTAAATATTTATTCTACCTCGGCTGCTCAGTTTTCTGTTCAGTATAGATCAACATCTACGAAATGGAGGAGTTCTGCATTCTATGCCATCAGTGCTTCTACGCCATCATTAGTTCTACTGGCTTTAATACAATGCGTGATTGTTGCATTACATTTCCGTACAAATTCAATATTTCACTCTGCAATTTATGGATGATCCCTGAACATGATCACAAAATTTAAAATTATATATTTCGATCCATTTGTTTCGTACTGTAGTCAAACGGTTTTGTATTTTGTTTTTTGAAATAAACATAAACTTCGCCTTTACATAACCATACAAACAAAAAACTGAAGGGAGGCACGTAAAAAAAGTAACATTTCGTAATTTTTATGAAACTGAATTCTTTAACTAAAAAATTCCATAACATGAATATTTTCTTTACTTGAAACATTTTTGTAGGTAGAAATATATTTCTACGTGCAACGTATGGAAAATAAGTCCATGAGAGGGCGCTCGTGGACATGGTATACATAAATTAATGTATAAGTTATTTCATACAAAATAAAGGGAAAGCATTTTTACTGGATTCGCTTTCCTTTCGGATGGACACATTTAATTTTTTTAACCCTTTTGGTTTCCAGGATTTGCTCCGCGTCGTCTCCCGTTAGCCATTTGTTACATCCTAAACTATCAGCCTAAAGTACATAAGTTTTGTTGCTGTCGAATTCTCCTCGTTTTGGGTAGAATTACCTTAGATAAGAAAACCTTGTTTCATTTTGACTCATAGAGTTAATAATTTGAAATGTTAAATCAGTTGCGGTAGGGTTGCAGTTTTCATTTTATAAACCTAGCAAGCAAATTTGACGTAATTATTTACAATAATATGTTACAGTCAAATTCAAATGAAATAGTTAAGAATTTAAGTCAGTTGCTTTGGCTGTTAATTAAATTCCATCTTCATAAAAAACAGTTTTATTTCAAATCAGACTTACCCCCAACGGGATTTAAAGTCTTCTTTGCGACTGCCAAATAAATAGATAAATTATATTTGCAGAAGAAATACTCGGAGATCTGTCGTAATTTCTGTCGTTAGTCCAACTCTATTGTTTTGCATTCAGGTGTTTGAGCTTCCCTCCAGTGTCATCAGACTCTCATGTGTAATCTTTGATTAATCTGTCAATGGGAAAATGTATAAATAAAAAAAGGTAGACTAGATAAAATAAAGAACATTATTAAAAAGTGTACATATCCTTGTTTTTAATTTAAACAAATTCGTATATTCTTATCGTGTTACCTTGATAGAGAGAAATCTGGAGAATGTTGATATTCCACGGTGAATGTCAACAATGGTCGCTTGGTTAAGTCGTATGTCCGAAACATTTGATAAATATCCTTATTTCTCACTTATACTGGAAAATGTCAACATTCACCTTGCATTGTTGGCGAATGTTGAAAAAATATTTTTGTTTAGTTTTAAATTATACTTTATTATTAAAATATTATGAGGTACGTCAATATATCAGAACGCTTAAGTAACAGCACATGTTAACAAGCTGTTGTACTTAAAAAGATGGGTAAGTTCTAAACCAGAAAAGAAAATAACATGAATAATAAACTTACTTAGTTATGTGATTGTGTACAATCTTATTTATTGTAGCAACTTATGTTTAACAGCTTAAACTGTTATGGTATTTTTAGGTTGCACTAGAATCTCTTGCTTTGATATTTAGTCGCGAAACATTTCTTTCTTCTCGGCCTCTCGTTCCGACCTCCACCACAGCATACCTTTCACCAATCCATTTGGTATGTATGGACATTCACCAGAGAATGTCACCAAGTACATTAGTGAAAGACCGACGGCATTCTCCAATTACGGTCTTTCACGGTAATATACTCTGCGCAAATAAAAAATCTGATGTGTACACCACATGATTTCCATGTGCGCAATATTAAATTATACGCATTTTTTCTTGCATTTCACTTAAACTTATCGGACTGAATTAAATCTACTTCCCCGACAGCGCATAACCACAATAGAATAAATGCATTCTTTAAAATTCACTCTATTTGTTTGCCATGGCGACACTCTGGTGCTAGGTTCACTTAACGGTATTACATTTCATTCATATTATAACTGAGAATGCACAAAATTTATATCATTTAAAAGAAAGAATTATCTAATCGTTGCCACATGTTCTATTCAAATACTATAATAAAGCTAGAACGATGTATAAAAGAAATTAAGCAAACAAAACAAAAAGGATATAGTTTTTCACAGACGATTGAGTATTTCTCATTCAATTAATTCAGTTCTCACTTCGCGACAAGGTAAAAGTACATAAAAAGTCAAAATATCTGCATTAAAAACTACGAAGTAAATCTTAAACACTTATTTCCTCGAAAAAATTTCAGAAAAGATTAAGCATGATATAATTGGCAATAATAAATGAAGGCGTTATCTTTGTTGTTGCGAAGCTAAGTTTCTCTAGATTGGCAACAAAGCCACTATCCTGCTGTTTCAAATGTAAACAAGCAATGGCCGCCATCAAAAACATTTAGACTTAGCGGCACTTAAACAACTTTAAAATTATTTATAATACTAAAAATATCGCATACAGATTTATCTACTAAGGGCATAAAAACCTTAACCGGAAGATAAGAACAACATAATTCAATCATTTTTAAAGCAAAAAATGTACAATTTACAAACATATAAGAGTAAAGAAACTGAGATCACTGAGCCGGGTAACAGAGTGGATATATATATAAATATATTTATATACGTTTGGTGCGGCCGATTGCAACCAAAATACGAGGTGCACATCTACATGTTATAGCAGTCCTATACACAAAATTTCAACGTTCTGAGGCTACTCGTTTTTGAGTTATGCGAGATACGTACGTACATACGTTCGTACAGACGGCACGAAAAATTCTCTTCAGAATTCATTTTAAAGCAGTTTTATAATTTTTTTGGAGGAAAAGTGTGTTTTATTCTGTCCTTACGTACAGATATAATGCAAAAACATCGTTAAATTGCATTCGATATCGGTCAAAATGGATATTTTCGTTGAAATATGCGGCCTGAAGCTTTTCGCGATTATAATATTTCCTTTTTACTTCGTACAAGGAAGTAAAAAAGGGGGGTGGACAGTTCTATTCTCACGTTCTTCCGGACCGATTGAAGAAATTCAACTTGCGTTTATCATGCCTCCAAAGCGCGACTTAGGATATGTATTAGATTTATATATAGCATTGTTCTAGCATAGATATTTTGACTCAAAATCGGACTTTTTCTGAAATAACATGCCAATGTTTTTCCATATTTCGATTCTACGACTCAAATTATGCCAAACTGCCACGTTTTGTAAAAATCGTGCGAGTAGTTTTTAAAAAATTAAGCTCTCAATATTTTACCTCCTGAATTGTATTGAATATGATATATATTTATTAATATCTCTTTTTATTAAACTTACTTGATTCCTTATTCCAGAATCCGAAATTTAGGTTCATTCGAGTTAAAATCCCAGCGAGGAAGTCACTAATTTCTCTCGTTTTTAGTTCCGAAAATGCTACCTGGCGCCGGACTAAAACCTGGTAGAAGGTAATTCGTCACAATCTCGATTTAGCGACTGGGTCACTTCCATCCCAATCACGATTTGAGTGGTGGAAAATGCAAGGAATGTTTGTCTTCTCCGCTGCATGGCATCGTGAATAAAAGATAGCCCCTCGCATATAAGCATTTTGTACCGCGCCACGCGCATGAGGAAAAACTCATGCTTGTGATTGGACATACTTTCCGATGTCATCATTTTCACTCGGCATAGTGGCGTTTAAGTGAGACTCGTACGGTTTTGTTTTCGTTGAATGACGCTCATGAGTGACACTAAATCGTGAAAATTATCGCTTGTTTTCTTTGAAACGGGGAGGGGAGAAAAACTGAATCGTTCCTGTTTCATGGAATAATGACACAATGAAATCTTTCAAAGATGCTGTTAATATCAGAAGCAATCTTAGGCGCTTAGATTATATAAATAGCTGAGTTCATAAACGTAGTGCAAAAACCAAAACACGACGAATTCGAGCCATCTGTAAAGGCATTGTGTACTAGTAAGTATATTATTACTCGTAATATTGCAGTTTTGTTGAATACTGTTCCTTTCACATTCCAGAAAGTATTTCCTTTGCAAATGTTATATTATTCCCATGTTAATGTCCATGTCATTTCTAATGTTCTGTTACCATAGATGAAAGAAAAAAAATGCATTCAGTATTGTCACTGAATTTGCATTTTTCTGACAAACTGCATTTTTCTGTCAAACACTATTACAAAAGATTTTATACAATAAAAACGGGCAATATTCATAAAGTAATATTATTCAATTTAAAATGCGTACTCTATTTCTTTGTTCCAAATCTATATTAGTGCAACTTCAAAAATAAATTTTACTTTTTCAGACTGATTATAAATATTGTGCACTATTGTGACTCAACGTCGTTTTAGCTATTTTAGAAAGTCTCATGCTTTCGGAGATTGTATCTGCAGAGAATGGACATATAATGAACATAAAATAATGAATTCATAAACACAACAACTTTAATATGAAGGGTTTTTAAGTTATGCATTTATTAAAACATTAAAAAATTAATAAAACATTTAAACGTTTTAAATTAAGCATTTATTAAACATTTAATAAAAAATTCTGCATTTAATACACATTAAAGGAGTAGGCACAAGGAAGAATAATACTTTTTCTCTCTAGGAAAACAAAAACTGCTACATTTTTTATGTGTTGTAAGAAGTATAATTTCAAGCAACAAAAATACAACACACATAATTATCTTTTCGGTACTGCTATCAAAATATAAACAAATGGTATTGAGGTGTACCTTCGAGCATAAGCAAAGTGAAGGCGTTCCTAAGCGTATGTGATCGGAAGCCATATCCAATCACGAGAAAGGATTTTTCCCTATGTGTGTGGCGCGGTACAGAATGCTTATATGCTAGCGCCTCGGGTCTGGAACTTGGAAGTTCCAGATTTCTCATACTCGAAAGAAATTTGCTCATTTTTCACGTCTACTCCGAATGAGTACCTAATTGATCTACAGTAAGGTTTCGAAACAGAGTTGGCATTGATTCTCTCAGGGTCGATAAAACTTTTAAAGGAAATGAAAGGTGGGCAAACCGGCTCTATAGTGGGATGAGATCAGAACCGTTTCGCTTGCTGAACTGTATCGGTTCATTTTATGACTCATCGCGCACTAACCACATGATGAATTGAGGTCGAGACCTGTGTCGCTGCTTTGAATGTGCCAAACAACTATCCTCATTCGTGGTTGTGGATTTTGTGCGATCAATTCCAGATCTTCTTGAAATGGATCCAGTGTCCTGAAACTATTTCTACAAACTGCAGAAGACACTGGGCGTTACATTGAACTCTATAGTCACCTGTGCTTGGGATTTGCCTGCTTATAATCTGCCGACAATTCTCCATCTTATTCCGTCATCGTTCCTACTCATTTTACGTGATGGCTTATGCAATTTACCCAACTCTTGCAAGAGACACGGCCAGCGTCGTGAAGGAGTACGAGCATCTCCGCAGATACGTGCATGTATACGCTTACGTATTCACTACGAATATTTGCGTAATATTTTTAAACATTTACAACGAATTTCTGAATAAATTTATAAATTGAACAATTTCTTTGAATTTTCTTGCGGAGATATATTTCTGAATAAGTACTATGAATACAACTCACGTAATCGTTGTATTCACAGTACTTTTTCCCGTCCAGTTCAATCCAGGCTAGAGCTGAAACTATTATGTAGATGGTATTCATTTTATACAGTATGCAAGATAAATAGTTCTTGTATGCTTAGAATTATGAGAAATTTCATCGCTTGGAAGAAAGTATTTGTCATAGCATACCATAATAAGCGAAGTAAGTCTAAATACCAGTACAAGAAATATTTTCTATTCTATTGATACTCACAAAAATTCACTGAGCGAAGTTTGTAATAGAGTCTACAATGTATTTAAATTAGTCCATTTAAATTAATCTATTTCCTAAAATGGAATCTTATGCTTTATATTATCTTATAGCGTCTCTAACATAAACTAACGAGAAACTAGAAGACTCTGTGAAGAATTATTCTTAAGTCTAAATACGAAGAAATCCAAAAAAGTGTGTAAAGAACCCTTTTTAACTCAATATACATTTCACAGATGACACTGACTCATGCTTACAGAAGCCAACACTTTTGACTTAACTCCAAAACTAACGAATAACGTAAAATAAAATAGATTTAAATTAGGCTAATGACCTTCCACGGGTTACCTAAAGAGCAGGCAGGCTCTGACTCGTAAAATTCGGCGTAAACAAGCTTAATGGCTAGAATCGCTCAACGCCACTGAATTCTAATAGCTAGTAAAAAAAAATAGGAAGTGCCTTTCAGACAGGCAGAACACACTCTCTAAAATCACCTTCCAAAACCTTGTCTTAAATACTAACTTCCTTCTACCTCAGTTTTGAATACACTTGAGCCAACACATTAACATTCCTGCAAGAAAGCGTGGGTTGAAAAACGAGAATAAAAGGATAGTTGTTTTAAAATAAAACTAACTGTTCGATAAATGAAATGAATCCTCACAATCTTAATAGCAAAATTAAATACATATAGAAAAGTTAAGCCTATTTAGATTTACTAGGCTTAAAGAGGGATAAACTACTTGAATAACTGAAGTTTGGATAATCCGACATCTATTGCACTACCTTTAGGTTTTTTGAAAGCAGGTTTGCATGTTTAAACAGAAACAGAAATGGCAAGGAAACAAAAAATCTGAAAGCTTTCAGGTTTTATATTACGCCCAAAAAAGCGTTTTTTTAACGTTTTTTGTATTACCTTTATTAATTAAATTCACACTTGAACCATAAAATTCAGTTCAACAGCAATATCGCAAAATAATTTTAAAATGAGCCTCTCTTTAGAATTTCCGATACACAGTCTCGCGCGCTGGAGATAAAAAGTCCCCCCCTCCCGTAGAGTGTTGCCATAGCTCTTTCTGAAATCGTTGAGTTTGTTAATCAAAAATACATTAAAATTTTACAAAATATCAAATAGGTAATAAAACAAATTCCAAATTCCAAATTTGGGCTTGCAGATGCGCATATTCGGGTGGAAACGTACGTTATTCAAAATTGGATGCTTTTAGGTATCGATGTTTTATCACAATGCGAGAAATATAGGTGCATTTATGCAGATTCTTCATTATTTTATTTCTTTAATACAGTGCTCTAATATTTATTGGCAACAATTTGAAAAGTGAGCCGATAGTTATAGTGAACCAACGCAAAATTCCAAAATGAAATTAATAGTTCTTCTGGGCAAATTACCCCTTTGGACTAAAGAAAAGATTTACGTAATTTTAAAACAAGCAAAAACAACATAAATGGATTATTTCAATACACAGTTTAAAATTAGTTTAAAACTACGTGTAGCCAGTACATATTTATCTACTTACCTGGCAGCAATCAGTATCCATACATAAAATTAAATTTCTATCAAATCAGAGGCCTTGATACTCGAGTATTGTATGCAGGTCTGAATTTCATGGACATGATCAAGATAGGAATCCCTTTCTAACAATATTTTATCAGGAGTCCTTGGCACGTATGTAGTGCTGGCGCGATAAAGGCAAATTCTCGAGTGCCTAATTTTCTTATCTACAAACTTAGTATGCATTGAAATGATAAATAAAGTAGAAAATATACGTCTCTTATAAAGACAGGATTTTCTAAGTTCTTTCTATCCAACTAGTTATGTCATGATGCAAACCGACTGAAATCGTTCTATAAAACCTTTTAACTAATATCAAATACACTCATGTCCATAAATTAAGGATAATGCAAAATCAGGCAAAGGAAGAGTTAGAAGCAAAACAAATTTGACTTATTTGTAAAGCTTTATTATTATAAACAAAAGGTAAAGAGCAAAAAAGATGCTATATGTTTGATATTATTAAAAAAAAACAGCGATTTTTTCTCCCTGGAGCAAATTACAAAAAAAAAAAAAAAAAAAAAACCCTATTTACAAAAAAACCAATATTACATGGTTGGTATGATTGTTAACACATTGTATGTCTCCCAGACGATGCAATACAGTCCGTACAACGCCTAGGCATGCTGAGTATCAAATTATCAATCTGATCTTGGGGGATATTACACCACTCAAAAAGCAATGCTCTCCGAAGTTCCGGTAGACATGTAGGAGGAGGTTGACGGGCTGCAACTCGTCGGCCAAGCATGTCCCACACGTGCTCTACTGGATTCAAGTCCGGTGAGAATGCTGGCCAGTCCATACGGATGATATCCTCCGATTGAAGGCATTCGCTTACGATGTTTGCACGGTGAGCACGGGCGTTGTCATCCATAAACACAAATTGTGTGCCCCGAAACAAACTTACATGTTGTTCCAGAATGACGTCCCGATAGATTAGGCTTGTCATGGTTCCAATTTGAACTTGTAGGTCAGTTCTGGAACCCAGAATAATTTCACCCCAAACGAGCACTCCTGCACCACCGTAACGGTGTCGTTCAATGATGTTTTTTGGTGGTAACGGGTACCTGGAGCTCTCCATATGAAGTCCGGCGAGAATCAGACTGCAAGCTAAACCTGGACTCGTCGGAAAACATCACACAAGCCCACTGTTGCGGTGTCCACAATGCATGCTCTCTACTCCAGGCTAACCGCAGGCGACAGTGAGTTGCAATAAGTGGAACGCATCTTACAGGTCTACGAGCATATAGACCAATCTGCCCTAAGCGTCTGTACACGGTCTGCCTTGAAATTGCCGTACCAGTGGCTGGAGAGGGCTGATAAGACAGGTCTGAAGCTGTCTCCGCCTGTTTCTTTTGGCAGTAACTGCCAAATACCGGTCCTCATTCGGCGTCGTAACTCTGGGACGACCCGTTCTGTAACGTCTACTCACATTACCATCATCTTGGAATCGTTGTCAAAGCCTGGAGATGACACTCTGAGCAATTCCAAGTTCGTCTGATACTTCCAGTTGGGTACGCCCGCATTGCAGACGGCCGATAATTCTACCACGTAAAAAATCATCCAAATGCGTCCTTTGTGTCATAACTATTCGGTTATTGCACTGAAATGCTTATAAAGCGCCTTCGAACAATTTTACTTCTTTGCTTGTATTCCTTATATATCACTCTCTTACACTCTCGTCATTGTGACGTACCATCGGTGTCATCTGGTTACTTCCTAAAATTTGCATATGATTCTTGAAGATGTGTGTAGTGATTTTACAGGTGATATATTTATTTTAGAGTTCGATTTCCCAGTAACTCCGAATTATCCTTAATTTATGGACATGAGTGTATTTTAGCTTAATAATGAACATCTGTAAATATTGAGAAAATGTATAATGAAACTTCTATGGGAATTTAATGGCAAGTATATGCGAAAATTTTCAGCTTTCTCTAAATTAAAACATCCTGCCACTGGAGTACATTGATATTTTAATTGCGAACGTCCTCCAAATTTTACCATCTCTGAAAGTGACTAGAATTTATAGAACAGAAATAAGCACGTTTGGCAGTAGTGGGTCTTAGAAAACGTTCATTATGTACATAATAATAATATATCAATAAATAAATAAGCTGAAGTGCATAAGTAAATAAATATGTATCAATTATTCATAAAGCATGGTATTGGAATTCGTTTTCCTTATTACTTCCTTGTACTAAGTAAAGGAAATTGTAATCGCGAAAAATTTCGGGTATTATATTTCAACAAAAATATCCATTTGGGTCGCTTTCAAATCCATCTGCATAATTTGATGCATGACATCTGTACGTACGGACAAAATAAGGGACGTTTTCTTCCAAAATGGATTTAAAATTTTCTTACGTTTTAACCTTCGTAATTTCAAACATCCTCTTAATTTTAGCTTAATTCCTCTATTTTCTAACCGTATATAATAATAATAATAAAATAATAATATTTCATAGTCAAAAATACACTTAAAATTCTAACTGTATGTTCTTTTCATTTTTAATGGCGACGGTGTCTTATTTGAAAGTACGTGGAATTAAATCCACCGCCCCGTAGTCAAGTTGTTTTTCCCGCCTTTTCTACACGTACAGTTATAGAATGTTCTGGAGATATTTTAAAGCGAACTGGAATGGCTGACGTCATTCTTGGAAGCTCCGCCTTTCCAGAGCTATAAAAGGACTCGAAAAGGATATCGGGATCTTTTCTTAATGTAACAATGCAGTAACTTGTAAGGTCCCTCACTTGAAATTCTAAGTTAATGTTGGGAAGTGAGGAACCAAGAACTGATAAGCGAATAATCGCTAGAGTTCGAAGACGGAAACAACAAGGAGAAGGGAAATAACCCTTTATTATTTCTATAAGATTTAACAAAACTCCGCCTGGGAGGAAAAAAATAAAGTCCGCACTTTGGACTTGAACTTAAAAGACTAAGAATTAACTAAAAAATAAGATTAACTAACTAAGTATAGCCAAAGCTATCAAGGTTCAATGAGAGTTGGCCCCTTAGCTTATTTTACTACGAAGCTTAGCAAGGGCCTGAGTACGGCCGAGCGTAAAACAGCTTTGAGAGAGAGAGAGCGGTCCAAAAAGGCAGACGCACGTAGTTCAGAAACTCTGTTTCTCTCTCTGTCTGTCTCAATAAGCTCTGTCTGTCTCAGTCATGCTATTTCCATGACAGAAGCGTGTGGGGGGGGGAAAATTGGCTCCCCCGACCACTACGTGTTCAACTGTAGCCTCACGACGAGCCATCACCTACCATATCCCACTACGGATATAGTACCTTACAAGAGGTTCATCATCAAACATTCACCTGTGATAAGAAAATATATGTAATGTTAATACAGCAGCTGAGCGCCTCTAGGGCAGGATGTCTGCCAACCATCATAGGAATAATAACATACACAGCGCAATAATTCTATGTCTCTATTGTAACTTAGCAGGTGTTATGTCTAAAATTGTAAATATGTAAGTGTATAGTAACTGTGTAATGTAAGTAATGTAAGTAATAGTGTAATGTAAGTAATTTAATCAATGAGTGTAATACGTCATACTATGTGTACTTTTAACATAACGTAATCGGTAATGTAGTCATTAGCGCGTGCCCCATGTGTATTATTTTAAGTAACGCATATATGATTATAAGGCAAAGTATGTGTGCCTATATTGGTATATATCATAATGTCATTTAAGAAGTAATAGCAATAATGTAAACTATAAGTAATCCAGTTATAAAGTAACTTAGCAAGTTCGCAATACCATTAGCTTAACGTAGTATACAGTCAGGTTATAACTCTAATAAGTGTAGATTAATGTCATGCATTATGTATGTGTAGTCTAATGTCATGTGAAGTGTAAGTATGTATGTACTAATTCATGCAAGTATTATGTATAAGTTTAATGTCATGTCATATCATGTATGTAATGTTATGTTTCATGTATGCATTATGGCCTATGAACACCCAGGTCAACCATTAACATAAGAATCTGTACAGAACCAATGTCAAACTGGAATAGCCCTTGTATGGCCATGTAAACTTTTTCATGAAGGCTCAGTAACTCCCGGTGCGCCCTTGTGGGACCCCAGGGAGTTCTTTGTATCTATATAGGGGAGGACGTGGGACATATCCCTATTTACCTCCGTTAAACACCAGGCGTCCCCGTCCTCCGTCACCTGTCACCTGTCTCAGTAAGTAACTTCGGGGCTTAAATACCGCTCCTTCTCATTAAATATTCAGCAAATTCCAAAACTACGTTCTGGCCGGAAGTAGTAAGTTGAAGTTAAGAATTTGACAGGAAAGGAACTTTAACTTAAAATTTAACTGTTAATAAAATTAACATAATCCTTACAAACTTCACACAAAAAGTTATTAGTAGTTCTTTTTTATTTACTCCGGATATCTGATTTTTGTAACTGCTATTTCTCCTGAATAATAATAAATGGATCCTGTTTTTTAAACTTATCGTCTGATACTTTGAGCTTCGACTACATCTATGATTCTTCACCAATCTATTTACTCCAGACAAAAGCTGGTACATCACACACACATATATATATATATAAGCTTTATTTAATTTTAACTTGTTTCGTACATTTTAAACCTCCGTAATTTCTAAAAAATCTCTAATTTTGAACTTGTTTATAACATTTTCCCACCAGACACATCAACATTTTTTAATTTTAAATGTAATTTTTATACGTTTTTTACGCTTATTTTTCTTTCTACTTTCCAACATACTCTAAATTTTAACTTCTTTTTTTTATCATTTTCGATTTCAGTAACGCTTTTGATTTTACTAAGTTTACTATTTCAGCTAAATTTACGCATTTAAATTTTTTAAACATACAGATAGTTTGCCATTAAGCATTTCAATTTACAACCGTTAACTTATTATTCGTATTCGATTCGTTGAATGGCCCTTATTTAGTGTATATTGTATAGTACTATTTTACTTTACCAGTTTTATAATTTATCATTCTGTAGTAGTCTTAACTAATTCTACTATTTTACTATATTATTAACTACATCCGAATTTTCATATCTTAGAATTTCCTGCATATTCATGTATTTCTCTATATTTTTTACATCATTTACATTTCAATGCATGTTTTTAAACTCTTCACGATTACCAATGTTCAGTTTTGAACCTCGATTTATACAAAGCTAACTTGATAGATTCCGCATTTTTTGAATGAAATCTCAACTTTCATCCATAATTTTAGAACCATATTCACTCTTTTATGTACTCATACAGAAATCCGGCAACAAACAGCTGCAGACTAACTGGCAGAAGCTTTTCTTATGATAGACAGATTGTAGAAATAAAGAGAATGGAGGAAAATGTTAAGTTCAATTCCACGTATTTATCAGTAACACATCTAATACCTTGTTTTCAAATATGAAATACCTTCTCTTTAGCCACAGTGCCATCAATCAATAAAACTGCATCAAGACACAGCAAGCAGCCACACGTCAAAACACACTGCTAATTTCCTAAAAAAAAAAAAAAAAAAAAAAAAAAAAAAAAAGAACAAGAAATGGATATCAAGGCCGTACTCTTCATTCACATCTCAACTACAGTCTATCTATTATAAGAAAAACTCTCTCCAGTTAGTCTGCAACTGTCTGTTGCCCTAAGAACGAAACTTGGCCCATTTTCCATAGGGGTATCTTGAAGACGAATGATAGATCTTTTCCCCTTAGCCAACAGTTGCCAAAAATAATATAACAATAAAGTAATCCTTGGTGCGGCCCTACTTGAAATAGACTAACCTTGTTGCTATACCGACCGCGGACACTGTGGCGGAAGCTGTTCTTTACGTTGACAAAGAGTAAATATTCTGATCGATTTTTCCCGCTTTTGAACTTTTAAAAAGCGAATTGTCCAAGCGTCGACCTTCAACTTTCTTGGACTTTTGAAAGCTGTTTTAGAGAATTGAATAAAATACCTCTTCCGATACTACAAAAGCCTCTATTGTTTTTGAAATTATGTTGTAGAAAGATAGTGAAGAATAAAGGTTATAACATTTAAAGCACAAACATTTTAGGTAAAATATTTGTGTATATACAAGGAAATTCGCATAAAAAATGTGCGAAAAGCCTCTGTACCAATTTTCACTTCACATTTTCTACCAGATAATTGTTCATTTACACATTCTTCTTTATAAAATAACATCTTTATTCTTTGCAGCGAAAGCGCACGATTTTACTTTTTATACCTTTCTTAAATAAATTTCGAATTTAATTAATTTTATTCTTTTTTCTTGCATTTTTTTAAATATACACTCACAAAGATGAAACTTCTTTCCAATAATCATGTGTGTTACTCTCGGAAACTTTACAACTACTGTCTAGAACAGTGATGGCGAACCTGCGACACGCGTGCCACAATCGGCACGCAGAGCCTCATCAGCCGGCACGTGACTAAAATATTCCATCCTTAATCAATAATCTCAAAAAATGATACTATGTAATTTAAATAACTGTTTTAGTCTCTTATTGAACGTTTTACTTACTTATCGCAAAATGCCACTGCCATAGTAAAGCTAGATACAAGATTTTCATATATCGCCATAGAAATTATACACATATTTATTGATCCAGTTTATGACGTTTCAATTGTTTGGGCCAAACATATTATTTGTTACATGGCAAAAAGAATACGCCAAATTTGAAGCAGTTAATGTTTGCTAAACGAATTCAAATTTATTGCAGACTGCCGGTGAGTTTTGATACTTTCATTGTTAAATGGATTCCATTTTCAAATCTAAACATTTTGAGGTTACTTATGAATAATTCTAATTTAATATCTTGAATGGAGTGGCAAGCTTCCATTCCATTTTGGGGACGCGGCCCCAAAAAGTTTCGCCACCAGTGGTCTAGAATCATAATTTGAGGAAAATAATCTGTAGTGATTTTTACCAAACATCCCGTATGTTGCCCAAACCATGAAAATATAATAAAAATGTTATTTATAATATTGCCATTTACTTTGTTAGAGTTCTATCAAATTATTTTCTCGAACTTTTTAATTTTAATAACAGAATAATTTTATTATTATTATTAAATTTAATTATTTAAAAACTTCCTAGAATGTATTCTTGTTCATATATATAAGCAATATATTTTATGTCACTGGAAAATCGGTTTTGTTACAATATAAATTAAAATTAAGTAAGAACTCAACTAAAACTTTGATCTAATTGATCAAAAGATTTTATTTTTCAGAGCAAATATTACGACAATTGTTACACTGAAGAGAGTTAGAGAAAAGTGCGTCACAGTTACAGTTTCATAAATTACAGACGCAAGGATCTATGCTCATATATATATATATATATATTTTTTCAGACACTGAGATGAAGAGTCGATAACTAATGAATTTGCTTGTCCTTTCTAGATTATGGCACAAGGATGGAGGGCTATTGTTTCTTCTCCAGTATATCACTAGATTCAAAGTCAGATTCTATCAGCTTTATTCGATATATCAGGCGCTTCGAGGTGAACCAACTGCTTGTGTTATCGAACTTGAAGATATCTGAAAATGAATGTAAAAAGAAGCATAAATATTGATTGATAACATAGTATTCTAGTTAAATTTTGCATTAAACTAATTTCCTATTTTGCACAAAGGCAGAAAGGAAGGACATTATTTAGATATTATTGATATCCCTTAGAATCAAATTTGTGACAAATTTATTTTAATTAAAATAAAAAAGAAATAAAGTTTCTCTAGATTGGCAACAAATCCACTAATCTTCTGTTTCAAATGTAAACATCAATGGCCGCCATTAAAAAAAGGCTTAGACAACTTTAAAATTGTTGATAATTCTAAAAATGTTGCATACAGGTTTACTAAAGGCATAAAAACCTTAACCGGAAGATAAAAACAACATAATACAATCATTTTTAAAGCAAAAAATGTACAATTTACAAACATATAAGAGTAAAGAAACTGAGACCACTGAGCTGGGTAACAGAGTGGATATACATATAGACATATTTATATACGTTTGGTGATGCCGATTGCAACCAAAATACGAGGTGTACATCTGCATGTTATAGGAGTTCTATATACAATATTTCAACGTTCTGAGGCTACTCGTTTTTGAGTTACACGAGGTACATACGTACGTACAGACAACACGAAAAATTCTCTTCAGAATTCATTTAAGCAGTTTTATAATTTGTTTGGAAGAAAAGTGTCTTTTATTCTGTCCTTACGTACAGATGTCACGGAAAAGCATCATTAAATTGCATTCGATAGCGATCAAAATGGATATTTTCGTTGAAATATGCTACCTTAAAATTTTCGGGATTACAATACTTCCATTTTACTTCGTAGAAGGAAGTAATAAGATTATATAGAACTGTAATGATCTTTTAAGCAGAAATGTATAACTTACAGACACTGGACCATGGAGCCTTGAATTTATAATCGACTGGAGATATATGGCACTGCATTTGAAGTTCTGGGCTACTTAACTGGACCTCACATTGTTCATCTTTTGCGATTAGATTTTCGTTGCTTAAAGAAAGATCACAGATCCTAAAAGAGGAGAGGAAACATTTTTTAAAATCATTCTGACATCCGATTTCATTAAATACAATTAGCATAGAATTTTAAAATTTCGGTAGCATAGAATTTTAAAAGGAAAATTTATGTCTTAACAGCTTCTGTTGATAACTCTCTGAACGCAGGAACAAAATTCATAAAAACGGAAAAATTAATTCAAGTGAAATCATAAATGAAATTATAAATTTGAAACGAAATCATAAACTCAGGAAGAAATATCGGTTTCCTCTATAATGTACCACAAAATTAAATGCCGCTTTGATAATGTTCCTCGCATATATTTAGAATAAATAAGGATCCTCCAGTCAGAGGGCTGATCTAATGTAGAAGATATCGTGAATAACTTTCACGATCTATAACCTACCTCCTACATGTCTTGTAAATTACGGTAATGGTAAATTAGATAAGTATCGTAAATTAGGCAAGTAAATAAGGATTAAGTACAGTAATCGTAAATTAGGCAATTAGGATTAAGTAAATTAATCGTAAATTAGGTAAGTCGGGTAAATTAGTTAAAGTAATCGTAAGTTAGGCACGTCGGGTAAATTATTTAAAGTAATCGTAAATTAGGTAATGTAATAGTAAACTAGGTAAGTCGCGTAAATTAATTGAAGTAAAGTAATCGTAAATTAAGTAAGTCGCGTAAATTAGTGTAATGATTCTCTCAATTTTTAAAGTATCATACTTTATTATAAAACTGCAACAGTATGCTAGCAATTAAAAAATGTTAATTATACAATATCTTAGTTAATATTAAAATAACCTACGCATAATTTAATTTATATTTTTCATTATATTTCAACATCTAAAGTGTTTTTATTAACGGTGTTTAGCTGAGTTTTTATCAACCTCTAAAACGTTTTTGCTATAGTATATTGAAACTATAGCTCAGTCTTTTTCAAAAATGTTCTGCGGTTTTATAATTTGAAGATGCGTAGAGAACAAACATAAAGCAACGAAAAAAAAATATTTTTTAAACTCTCTCAAATAATAATGTAGTATGTCATCTTTTTCTACCGACAGATGGCGTTGCACGCCATTGGATGAAACTATACAAACAAAAACGCCTTAATGAAAACGTAAAAAGATGTGAAGGATGTTACATGGATGAAAAAACTTCTTTTTCTAGTTTTCTTCATTGTGAGGGTTTTCTCGTGAATATTCATGTTCCTGTCGTCCATTTTCATAGTGTGTTGAAAGCCGTTGATATTTTCATTAAGTGTCCAAGTTATAATGCAAGTTGGACTAGTGCATTAATAATAATATTAATAATTAATCCAGGAATGAAATCTATATTAGTAGAGTATGGTAAGCTTAGCTTAGGATGGATAACAATAAAGGGTGAAAAGCATTTAAATTATTTTAATAATGAAGAAAGTGTAATATAGAAGTTTTCGTAAATTTCACAGAATATTTTGCGTAACAAAAGGAAATCATTCCGGCTACATAAATAACCAAGAGCTTAGGCAAAGAATATCTTTTGCAAATTTCGCAATAGGCTAATTTCTTATAACGTTCCTTTCTCCTTTGTTCGTAGCTGCGGTGATATAAAATGGGTAAGACTGAAACATATTTTCTCTATCCTTTTAACGTGTGCTTCCGCCATGTCATTGGAAGGGCATCCCGTTGGCAATGTATAGGTCCAGAGTTCGAATTCGGTGAAGCTTTCGCTGGTTTCTCATATTTTCTGTCCCAAAAATGCCCAGTAATTCTTCAGAGGCACCCAAATAAAGCTGTAATGGGTGATAATTTATCAGCATCAAAATGTGACGATCGAGTCACCATTTAAGGGGGGGAATGTAAGGTATTTTCTCCCTCCTTACCGGGTGCTTTCATGATATGATTAGACGCTAGTCATCGAGAGGTCCGGAATTCAGTGAGTCTGTAGAGTCATTAGGTTAATTGGAAGCAGAAAAGATGAAATATGCAACGGCCTTCGCCGGGAATCGAACCACAGACCTCTGGAATACCGGCCCAGCGTGCTACCGTTACACCATGAAGGCACGCTAGGGAACTGGGAGAAATACCTTATAAGTTTACCGTTGGTTTCTCATCTTTTCTGTTCCAAAAATACTCAATGATTCTGCAGGGGCGCCAAAATAAAATTGTGGCTTATGGTAATTCATAATCACAAGGATTTGACGGTTGAGTCACTATTTAAGTGGAAGAGGATACAAGGTATTTTCTACCTCCATGGCGTGTGCCTTTGTGGTGTTATTGGAAGTTTGCCCGGCTAGCATCGGAGGTCTGGAGTCTGAATACCGGTAAGGGCATTGCTGATTTTCCCTATTCCCTGCTTCGAAAAATCTAATGACTCTAAAAAGTAATCTGGAAGATATTTCATGCTCCATTCCATTATATAAGGAAAACCACTGTTTCTGTGATTACTTCAGCTTAAAATTTAACTTTTTTGCTTCCTTTTTTAACAGCAATCTCAATCGTTATTTCATCAATAATCCTATCAGTAATAGCACCATGCATAACTGTAGCAAAAAACATAGATGCCCAGTTGGCTATTTGCAGCCTCTTTTAACTGATTCAGTTTCATTTAAAACTAAATTTCATATCGACTTTTTATACATTACTAGCTTGTGAAAATGAAAAATGATTTATGCTAATTTTAGCTAAACTTTGAATATTAGCTCTCATATTAAACTCCGAACAAGAGATTCAATTTGCAGACTAGATCTTATTCTGTGTCATTCAATTACTGAGTAATGAACTAACAAAATTATGCGTTAAGGAAAATATAAAAGTATTTCATTTCGGAATCAATTTGAAATCTAAAGCAAACAAAAAACGAATTGCATGTTATTTTATAAATTAGTAGGAAAATATTACTCTGGATTCTGTCCAACTTTCCTATACATAATTTTAAAGAAAATGTTCCCTTCTTCAGTTCGGAATTCTATGCTGATTATTGATCCAGGCTTCGGAACTACGACTGGGTAATTGAAGTAGGATCTCGCTCCGATTACTACGCTCAATGCACTTGGGTCTGAGAGTGAAAGAGTAACATGATTACTCAAATAATAATCCTCTGGAATCTGGCCGCCAAAACGTAACTGCAAAAGAATATGTAGTTATATAATCCGAAAAGCAAATAAATGTTACACTGCACATATTTATTACGATTTTACACATACAAATTAAAACTGGAAATGGGTTACCTTTCATTTAAAATGGATAAATGTAACTTGTGGATTTACTGCTTCTGCAATAACTGTTTTATAAAGCATGACGCACAATATTTTTACATTTATTGCTTATATATCACAATATGTATTAGGCTGGTGGAGTCTTGCATGTAATTTTTATTGTGTTTAATATTTATAGTCACTGAGAAAAGTACTTTCGTATTTATTTTACGGCCTTGAAATCGACTGCTGAAATCTCTGATTTAAATAAGTACAAGAATAAAAACTCATTTCACAAAAAGATTATTAGTCGAGAAATAATAATCAAATAATATCAAGAAAATGTGAATGTGATTCCATAGTTACCTGAAATGAGAGGAAAAATTTTACTTAAAATGGTGGAAGAATAATAAATTTTAAAAAAAAACAGTTTGAATGAAGTAACAAAGGCAATTCTAATGCATACTGAACGATTATGTTCAGATAAATCGTGATGAAAATCAACAAAAGTTTTACTCTAATGAGTACTAAAATTATATCCTATTTGCCAAGCCTTGTTGTTGAGAGAAAGAACAGTTATAAATTTCGTCTTCATTTTTAGATTTGAGTGATTTTTAAGTTTTGGTGAAAATTATTTGTTATTTGAAGTTTCAATAAAAAATTAAAGTAATCTGGAAAATAAAACAAACTTCTCAGGTTAGAAATCAAATGAAAATATCGAGATCTTTGAAATGTAGTAAACTGAAATAATGAATAAATTCATAATATTTTCGAAACGTTAGGAATTGCATACTGCAGAAAAAAATAAAAATTGAATCTAACAAAAGAAATCAAAGGCAAAATAAAGTGTTTACGTTTTTCGTGACATCTCATCAGGAGATAGGTGCTACAAGAAATGTAACTGGACAACCATAATTCTGAACAACTGAATGAACAATTTCATAAATTTCATAAAGGTAAAGTAAATTCATTTAAATAAACAAATGTATATATATATATATGATGTAATAAAACTGTTCCATTAGATGTAAAAAAACTGCGTTATTAATTTAGAAGTCAAACAACAAAAATCAACGTTATATTTTCAAATTTTCATAGGACTAGTTTCGATGGTTTTACCGAGCCATCATCCTCAGCTGCAAAAGCGCAAATGAACAGGTAAGATATAATGATTAGATAAGATAAGATAAGAAAGCTTGGACAGGAGATAAGCTACTGACGCCGTCTCTTGATGAAACCAGAACTAAAACATAATTTCTTTAAAGGCAAAGATGGATTTTAAGTATTAGTTATAAGAAATCAAATAAATAATATATGATTATAAAATTACTTCATTGGTAGATAGTTTTAACAATGAAATTACAGAAAATTGGAGTCCGTTTCTAGTAGATCTAAGATAAATATAATGTTTAAATTGTTACGATTATACATTGTCACGGTTTTGAAGCCCTTAGCAGACAAAGTTTTAGCATTACTTGATCAGTTTTTCACAAAGGAAACAAAACTTGTCTACAGATTATATAAAAGTGACAAGTTACATGAAGCCAAGCGCTCTTGTATAGATGTTTCCCTCATAGATCCAATTGCAGGACATCGCTTCCTATGTAAGGATTATGTTAATTCTTTAACGGTTAAATTTTAAGTTAAAGTTCCTTTCCTGTCAAATTCTTAACTTCAACTTACTACTTCCGGCCAGAAAGTAGTTTTACAATCACGTCTGAATACATAATGAGGAAAAGCGGTATTTAACCGCGAAGTTCTTTGGTCTTAGCGAGAGAGAATCAGAGTTTCTGATTTACGCGCTTCTGCCTTTTGGCCACTCTCTCTCTCTCTCTCTCTCTCTCTCAAAGCTGTTATTACGCTCGGCCGTACTCAGGCCCTTGATAAGCTCTGTAGTCGAAAACGTTAAGGGGCCAACTCGATTTGAACTTGACAGCTTCGGCTATATCTCTTTAGTTAATCTTAGTTTTAGTTTAATTCGTAGTCTCTTAAGTTCAAGCCCAAGTGTCGGCTTTGATTGTACACTCCATGACGGAGTTTTGTTAAATCTAATTGGAATAATAAAGGGTTAGTTACCCTTCCATCTTGCTGCTTCTTGTCACACGAACTTAAGCGATTATTCGCTAACTAGTTCTTAAGATTCGTCACTTAGTAACAGTAACTGAGAATTACACTAGTGAGAATCTTACACCTTCTTGTTGCTATATTTTTTTAGAACCATAAAATTCTTTTTCGAATTCCTTGAGTTCCTTTTTCATTATTACATTTTTGCAACAATTCATATGTTTCTTCTTCAGAACCAGCTGCAGGTATAAGAGAAATAGGCAGCCATCTAGGTTGCTTATTTTCGCAAGCCACTAACTCAGTTATTCTCACAAAGCATAACTAATTGAATAAATATTTCGTGTTTAATTATGTATTTGTTTTACTTCTAAATGATCACCTAAGGTTTGATTTTCTAAAAGCAGCTTTCTCTTTCCGGCACGAAGACAGATATTTTTCCAACAAAGCCTCCCCCCTCTTATCAATGGCGAGCCATCAGCCGATTTCAGCTTGTCCACTACCAATGCCAGAATTGGTGGTCACTTTATCATGCAGGCACCGAATAGGTTTCCTCCTACAGTTACAACCTTACTTACTTACTTACCCCCAGCTGTTACGCCTGTTATATGACTATCAGCATTTGTACTCAGTTGGTGGAGCATTATATCATCGCTATTACAGTTACAACCATGCCTTTTCCGGGATCCGAGCCAAGGGCCTTTTGTTATCTCAGTAGGCTCCCCTAACCACTATACCGTCTGGGCGCCATTTTACGAACAAAGTAATACTTACAAATTCAATGCACATTGGGTTTCCTTTGGAGTCCCTTCTCTTTCCACCAAGAAATTCCGGTAACACATCTTCGTCAACATATTTCAGAAGAATTTCTGGCGTAGCTTCTGCGAGAAATCAAATTACGTTTGAACAACTGATATTTAAGAATTTCAGTTATTGCATAAGATTTAGTCATATACAAGAAAACTCGAAAATAAAGTGATCTCATTACACTTTAATGAAAAGCATGCATATTATAAAAATATGCATATAAACCAAAAATAAAAAATGTAAATAAAAGAAACGTTGGGAACTTATAATTGCAAGCTGTACGAGAAAAGCATTCTGCATTACTAATTGATCTACACTTCTGAAAAAGAGCTTTTCTGTATTGCATCCCCACACATCTGCCATCTTATGTTAATAATTCTTCATTGCTACTCGCAGGAAAGTTAACAGAGTATAAAAGTCTTTTCAATTAATTGCACATTTAAAGTAAATTATATCTTTAATTAACTTATATGAAGCCTTTAAGATTTAAATTCTGTTTGCTGCAAAACAAATATGCATATTTGGTTAAAAATGTAACATTTCAAATAAAGTGAATTTATTTTTTTTTTTTTATGTTTAAATTATTATTACACAGTTTGTAACACTGAAACACAGTATAATTGGAGCAAATCACCATATAAGCATAAAAAGTAAAATATTTCATTTTCAGATCAAAAATTAAGTCCAATTGCATCAATGCATACAGTATTTAAATGAGAAAACAAATATTCATTGCAGTAACATCTCCAGTTATCCGCACTTCAAGAAAGAAATAATGTAACTGTTATCTGTTAGTTCTCAAAGGTTGGCAGACGAATCATTTTCACAACTGACTGCAGCTTTAGTGATTTTCTTGCTGCAAATAATAACAATAATGCAGGAAAAAAAATTCAGACCCGTTAAGTGTATGATAAAAATCACAATGAATGAAGTGATTTCAGTGCAATAAAACTCTAAAGCTAAAATTATATGTTGAAAGATTCTAGCTAAAAATTACGACTACGCGTGTGTGGAGGGAGAAGGTATTTATGTTTGCAGAATTATTCCGAAAGATTTTGAGGCAAAACTATGAAAGCATTTACAAATAATGTATACTAATAAATTACACTCGTGTTCAAAAAGTATCAACAAAAGTGATAAAAAGATACTAATACAAGAAAGGAAATTAAAACATACAATTTATACACCAGGTAGAGATTCTAACACCAAATTCAAATGGGCAAGCAAAATTAGCATAGAACGCAAACCCGCAGTCATATCACAACGCTTTTAAAAGGTGCATGGCTGACGTATGCGTCACTTCGCAAGCTGCGGTAGTTCCATGTTATTTAAGATAACCAAAGTGGAAAGCATAAGCCGAAGACACCATTTGCAACGGTTAAATGCGCTGGAGAGCTGTCGAGATGTTGCAAGCTGATGCAAGAAATCCCACTGTTGCGAGATGCGAGAGAGCTTAGTGTGCAACGTAGTGTCATTAATAAACTTGATGGAATCGTTACCAAAGGGATCAAACCCGTATAGAAGACTTGGCACTAAAAGCCGGAGAATTACTACATCGGCAGGCGATCGCTTCTTGTTGCCATGCGAAAGATGCTATAGATCAAGTACAGCAAGACAGCTGGCGTCGCATCTCTTTGCTGCTGTAGGACAGCACATATCCCGACAGACTGCGTTGCTTCAACTGCATGAAGGTGGATTGAACGCGCAACAACTTGTGGTTTGTATTCCGTTTACCCCATCCCATGAAAGAACGCTGTTTAATTGGACCCGTGAACATCGCAGTTGGACACCAGAGCAGTGAAGCCACAGATGAGTCTCGATTTAACATCCAGATCGATTCGGGCAATGATATGACGAGATCCATGCACACGCTACTGGGTGCCTAATATTGTCGAAAGGCATGATTGCAGAGGAGAATGCTAACTTGTATGGACTGGGACAACAACGAACAGCCACACCGACGTCTACTTAATTCCTGGTGGTTCCGTCACTGCTGTCAGATATCGCGACGAAATTCTACATCCTCATGTGCGACGTTATAACTACAATGAGTATCGACGCGATTTTTGTGGACGATAACGTCCGTCTGCATACAGCTCGAGTGATGTGGAGAGTGAAACCACATCTGTCGTATCCTGCTAGATCACCGGGCCTACAAGTGGGATATGTTAGGACGATAGACAGCAGGTGGCAGTGTGCCTCCAGTCAACCTCCACGAGCTCCGACATGTATTACTACAGGAATGGGGACTACTGTTACAATAAGCGATCAATTCCCTATTGCTAGCTTGCGTCGCAGTTGTCAAGAATGCAATGCTGCTAGAGGGTATCATACCTGTTGTTAGCGTGATGTTTCTTTTGCCCATTTTTCCGATCCATTTGGTTGTTCTCTATGTGACGGTCGTAATACATATGTTGAGTCTTTGCTTTATTGTTTGCAATGTAATCTACTCAGGCCATATGAAACTATCGAATCAGTTTCAAGTATATTTGTTAAATAGGGCTTGTTCTATTCCGTGTTTTGCCTTTGTTGCTTATTTTTTATCAGGACTGCAATTATAAAATATAATGCACGCATTTGTGATGGAGTAAATCCATGCCTAGGATTTTACGGATTACGGAACGCAGTTTTAAATTTACGCATTATCATAATTGCTTCCACTTAATTTTTCCAACGCTAGAATTTCATTCAGACGTGGTCCAGCATTCATTCACTAACCATGAATACTTGCTGGCATTAGCTCAGGCCAGAAGTTAACAAAAATTGTAAAGGATTTCCAACGATTGAAAATGAAATCAAAGAAGTAATACAAATTACAAAAGCAACTAGCAGGATTTTCAGGTATGGAAAGAAAAAGAAGTCAAAGTATCAAAGCAGAAATGACAATCGAGAAATGAGGAACGAAGAATTAGATGATCGTTTAACATCAGCCCACAAATTTAAACGAATTATTAAAAAAAGGCATAGGAGATGTCTGATTTTTTGTGATGTTATGTCACATACTGTCCCAAACAAAAATCACTGGCTTTAAAAAAAAGAAATCATTGTATCACGTACTTATTAAGCAGTAACACAAATTTTCAATTATTGTTTGTTTCGTTTTTTTTTCTTTTTAATTTTAATAATAGGTTTGTTTAAATTATACATACTTTCTTAATCTGAATTATGACTAACACATTTTTCGCGATGGTGATAAGAAAAGCTTATGAAAACAAGTTTTCAGTTACATTAAAATTTTTTGTTTGTTTCTTTAAACCACAGAGCATATAGTGCTGCTTTATACTTGAGATTATTAAGAAATGAAAATTATCTCTAAATTTGTAAAGTCCATGATGTAGAAGTTGATTTAAATTTTCTAATAGTTATTTTTATTTTGGAACAAAGCTTTCCTTTACTCTCTTGTTTCCCACCTACGTTTCTCTACCAGAATGAGTTTTCAGGATCACGTTGAGGTGAAAACCAATATTTAAGTTGAAGTCTCCGTCACTTCACTAGAAGATCCTCGCATACACGTTCACACTTCGAGCACTTTACTGAGGATGTTTCATCACAAGGTCCAGTGTGGTTAAAATTGATAGAACAGAAAAGTACTGTTTTATGCAGTAAAATGCCTGTTTAATCCAACCCTTAAACCCTTGGAATCTTAAATCCAACCCTTTGTAGGATTTACGTCTTTCTTTCCTGCTAATGCAACAGATGTTCCATAAAGAAAAGCAGAGTGCCTAAACTAAATATATGCTGTTCAGGAAAATTTAGAAAACTTAAAACTGTTTTAATTCGAATAAAAATTACCTTTCGATACAACTTGTACCTTCTGAAGCAACGGACCCCTTAAAATAGGCTTCAAGAGATTATATAGTCTGTAGAAGTACGTTGGGGCTGAAAGAAAGATTTTAGTTAGTGAAAATAGAATATTAATAATAAATAACATGCATTCAAGCTCTGGATAATGATTAAAAATCAGCTTAATATTTTAGATTTGAATTGTACACTAAATATCTTTCTAATGAAAGTCCAAGTAATCTTTTCCGAAACTCTTTTTTAATGGCTAAGCAAAAGCTTACAAAGAACTATAATCTTATCAACAGAGGTTACAAACAAAAAGACTGAGGACCAAGACCAAAAAGACTGAGGTCATTGCCTAAACAGCGTTTTTGCCTCTCAGTATCTCGACTCTTCTGCAAAACCGTGGAGAGCCCCACATTAAAGAGCAGGTGGTCCTATCCATTTGTTCTCCAGAATCGCAAAGAGGGCAAATAGGATCGCTTGAAATGCCTACGCGTTGCAGGTGGGCGACAAGCCAATCATGTTCTGTAGACAAACGAAAAGCCGCAACTGCGTTGCATCTTGGACAATATTGAAGGACCTTATCAATCTCCACCTTTTTAAGGCTATACGAATCTGAAGATCTCGCAAGATATTAGACGTAAAACAATTTAATACTCCAGTAAGAAATAGCTGTATTAGGATGTTGTAGTAAGCTGGTACCTCTTTTAGCAGGGAAGTTCGCTTGCTCATTGCTCCTTCACCATCAAAGGAGGTACCAATGTATTCTCCAAAGGTACAAAATTTGAAATTTTATAAAGAAAGCGACTTCAGCCCTTTTTAGAAAATTGGGAATAGATATGTGCTATTTTGAGAAGCCTTAACATTTTCTGAAACTTCGAAATAATTTTCAAAATTAGAAAATAGCTTAACACGGTGTTCTAGTTTAAACTAGAAATCTAGTTTAAACATTACAAAAAATAATGCGCCCAATCCAATTAAAATATATTTTTAGAGATTAACAGAAAAGTAATATTCATTAATTTAGAACAGCTATTCAATCTAATCCCACAGATTGATATATTACAAATAAATAACTACAACTCTATACACATTTCTGCATTCTTTTCAACATTCTTTTAATAATTTTTTTTTTTACTTTGCTATGAACATAACTTTATTTTGATTATTTTGGAAAGTGTTGATTTAATGTCTCGATGTAAAGAAAAGAAGTCAGCATTTCTAAATACGTTCTTGGAGTGAAGATTTAAACCTAGTAAACACAGGGCATAAAAAAATTTGTCGCTATCCCCCAAATGACCCGTACAAAACCTTGGTAACTAAATTAGTAATCTTTATATATATATATACATATATTTAAATCAGTAAAATAACTAAACTTTATAAAGTCAATTAGAAGTAATTCATATCCTACCCTTATTCTCTTAATTGGAAAATTGTTATTTATAATGTTCTTTATAATATTTAGCTTTAAGCTTGAAACAAATCTCTATAAAACGAATGGAAGAAAAGTTCATGGGTTAAACATTTTATATTCTGAGGTTTGCTTATACAGGTGTTTCAGCAAATCACTTATAAATTTTCAGGAGAGATATAGTATATCTAGATGATGGAAGATCACATAGCAATACGTGGTCAAAGGGGCATTCCTGGCGCGGTAGAGGCAACGTTAAATATAATAAAGGACGAACTTGGACAAGGATGAGGAAACATGTTTATTATGCTTAGTACAGCAGAAACCAAGAGATAAGAACAAAAACAGGCAACGATGGTTATCAAAGAAGGCGTTCGGAACTACGACTCAGGATCCTGATACAGGCCTCACATCTCTAGTTACACGGAAGATCTGATGTTCTGGAAAATACTGGGCATGTCCTGGACTTTCCCAGTAGCTGCCGCGATGCGTGCAACAAGTTTCTCAGCAATTCTAACGGATGTTTCGTACACCAATGTCTCCAATGTTTCGACGTAACCCCCAGAGGAAGTAGTCAATGCAAGTGAGGTCTGGCGATCTTGCTGACCAATGCACCGGACCATACCTGCTGATCCTAGGTGTATTATACGTTTCGAAAGTAATTTTGAACTTCCGCCTGTGTTTGTTCTTATTTCTTGGGTTTCGCTGCTCTACGCATAATAAACATATATACTCATTCTGTTCGTGTCCATCCTTTCTTGTGTTTTTTGTCGTCACTACTGCGACAGGATAGGGTTTCTGACCATGGATTGCTGGGTGTGTTTCCATCGCCTAGGTATACTCTATCTCTACTGAGAGTTTGTAACCGATTAGCTGAAATACTCTGTATATTGTATGTTGTATAAAACTTTAAGCTGTAAATTTCTAAATGAAATTGTACTCACCGTTCACAAAAAATATGTTGTTCCATATCTCCGGATAATAATCTTGCACCAGGCGACCGAGGTCTAAACTCGTCTCAAGAACTGAAAATGAAGTTTCGTTAGAACATTTAATTTACGCAAAAGAACAAAATTAGTTTATAGATTAATCAGTATAGTAACCAATGATGTCCATAATATGTATTCAATTTCGAAGATCACCTAGGTTTGTCTTCCTGTGTTGGAAATGTGAGAAAGTTTTAAACAATTCTGCCTTTAAGTTATGTTGCAAGAAATGGCAAAATCTGTGAAAGAATGACACGTCAGGTAAAACTAAGTAAAAGCAAACACCATTCATTTGCAACTGAAAAAGACAACCATATTTGAATGAGTACGATCTTTTCAGCCATGTTAAGTGCACACTAGAGGACACCAACTTCCACTGCAGTTTCCAGTTCTCTGAGAGTAGCTGAAGACACTGACAGAAACAGCAAAAATAGTTTATCATACAGTTTCATGGGAAGAGAAAATTAAATAATTCTCTTCCCAAAATTTCTACAATTTTATATAAAAATAATACAAGCATGGGGCGCCCTTGATAAATTTATAAAGGGAATGTCTTGCACTTTTGACAAAGCAATTCAGTTAATATATTTCGTCATTTCTTCGTTCATAACATCATGAACGAATAGAGAATAAAATTTTTCTGCAAATCTTATGAAAGTCTGCAATTCTTCGTCAGCTTCTTACAACGTAACTCTCTTGCTCTGTGTCTCGTCTTCATCTACATCCTCCACATCATCATCACCATATTTTTTCTTTCCCAGTATGTTCAATTATTTCGTTGTCATCTTGAGAGAGTGAAAAAGAATTGTTTACTTGTATCGAAGCTTCCCATTCCTCTTCAGCAACAACCAACACTAATTTTCTCCGAAGATATATAAGACCAAGATGTTTGACACAGAAGACAGATAGAATTTCAAAACCAAGAAGACCTTGGTCAAAATCACTCGACTCATCTTCTGCGGACATGACCATTGATTCATTTACACCAACAGAAATGTAATGTTTTAAAGATTTTCAAGAGCCAAAGTAAATATATTTACAAGCAATGCGAAGTGTTTTTGAAAGTTATGGACACTATCTTCAAAATTTCTACATCGACGCAAAAAAAGGAATCGGTAGTTCATTTTTATATTCTGTTACACTTGTTCCGTTAGAAAGCGGAAAAATAACACAAATGTTTTCCACATTGAAGTATCCAAATTGTTAGCCCATTACATATATTTAGACCAAAGGGGCGTTAGCCCAGAAGGGCTATTAGCCTCGAAACGGCATTTTGCGTATCCAACTGTGGCCAACAAATATTATCGCCCTGTATTATATTTAACTCCTTCACATCCAATACGCCACACACGGCCTTATATTGAAACAACCAGAACCGCCCGAAAACGGCCGAGATTGTAATCTTTTTTCTTCCCTCCCCCTAAGATATACAGTTGCAGTTCTCCCAAATGCATTGTATCAGTTTACTGCAGACAACTTGTTCTAAGAAATTTCTTATCTTTTGGTTGATGGTGACAGTCCGTTGTTATTCTTTTGTGGTACAATGTGCTTTGAAGCTTTAAGCAGCAACAAAAGAGCAGTTTAAAAATTTAAGGCTTATATTTATTTTTAAACAATTTATTCCTTCCTATAAAAATAACGGAAATAAACAAAATCTCAGTCCTGATCATAACAAAGCCAGAAAGGCTTGTTGGTCTGACCTTCAGAATAGTTTTATAAAGAACGGGGTCAAAGGCTAATGGAATCTTTGTTAGAAAGTGCAAAGGATGTCACTAGAAATCTTCACACCTATTTTTTGCGTTAATGGACGGGGAGGGGAGGAAATTGCTGTGAAACTGGAAAGCTATTTCGGCCGTTTCGGTATTTTGAGGACACAAGTTAGCGAAGGGTCTGAATTTCAAAGGGTTAAAGAAAGTAAATAAAGAATCTGTATGAGTGTATATATGTATGTTTCTCACATTGTAAAAAAAACAACGTTACCTAGCGTCATGTACCTTCCGGGGTGGACGCAGAGAACTTTGTAAAGTACTGGCTAGGATCTGTACCTAGGCAGTCTCGGCCACGAGGGCACATAATCATTGAGCTTGGCGGTTCCCTGTGACCTGTGGGGGTAGGAGGAAACTGCCTCTGGATTCGTCTGAGTCCCCCACAGGGTGAGGAGGGTAATTTCCAAATTTAAGAACTATTAACATCGGGCATACGGTACCCCGTGTGGTACTGGCAGGTAGCATTTCTGATGACCGGTAAGATCTCCAAGCGTGCATGTCCCGCCTTCGGGAACCGGGAGTGGTGACCCCAAGCGCGCGGGAGGTAGCAGTTGGTTGAGTGAAATATCTCAAAAGTCTACTGCCTCGGTTGAGGGGCCGGGACAGTAGAAAGTCAATGCAATTAACTTTTAACCAGGGAAATACCGACTGGATGTCCCTCCTCCACCTAATGCAGTTACTTTGGGGTTCAGTCCGCACCATGCTATAACATAGTAGTTGGCGGCACTCGTATTAGAAGACCACTTACCTAGCGTCATCAAATTTTGAGTAACATAGTCCTCAACCCGAACATGGGCACCTGGAAGCCCGAACTTGGCATTTGTAATTTCTTTTATTGCATATTTCCTATTTTCTAAACTTTTAACGCATTTTTGATTAAATACTCAAACAATTTCAAAGCTAACAGTCCAACACTACAGGGAATGAAACCTTTTTATTTCCAGCGTGCGAAACTGTCTATAGAAAATTCTAAAGATAGGCTGTTTTTAATTATTTTCAACCGAAAGTGGCTACGAAACATGTATGTGTCTGTAAATGAAAAAACGCCCGTTTGGGCTTAATATTAAATCTGAATCATTCTTTCAATTTTTTTAATCTAATAATCTAAATTTCGCATTTCAATTAAAAAAAATGTGCATTTATTTTCATATTGCATTTATTTTCATATTGCTAAAAATCTGCATTTATTTTGATATTGCCTGTTTATTAGGTGTCGGTTACAAGGAATTTCACTGTATATAAATCATACCGAGCAATAGAAATTTATGTTTTTTAGTTTTCAAAAACTCTGACAGATTCACCATTGCTATTTATAATTAAATTAGACATAAAATAAATAATTTACTACTTTGCACAAAAATTATTTCAAATCTTTTTTTCTAAATCTATCCTAAACAAATAGTGCCGCCCACCCGATGTAGTGGTTAGAGTCGCTGAGTGCTGTGTCGAAGGTCCCGGGTTCGAATCAGGGATCATGGTATAAAATTTATAGTGTCCGTGCAGCATGTTGGCACTCCACATATGCAGCGAGCCAAAAGTCCTCTCGAGACATTGCTGGTAGGGAAAGATGGGGGTGGGAGACCCTCAGATCCGTCCCCCTGGGGTGCTCTCCATCCGGAACTGGTGCCGGAACTGAGCTAAATCGCACTGCCACATATAAGGTGCTCAAGGCTGTTGCCAACGACAGGCGTAAACTTGCGTTCCTTGCCACGAGGAATTTCGTGGGCTTGGGCTGACTATAGGTCAGACAACTGAGCATCAGCAACAGCAACAACAGCAGCAAACAAATAGTCAAATACTATTAATTCGAAGACTGCTAGTTTACTCACCGTAGCTCTCTGTTTCCTTGTTGATGTCGTTCATTATAACTTGTTTTAAGAATTTCAATCTTTTTAAGTTTATGTGCACAATAATGACTACCTTAAGGCATTCAAAGTAAGGCTAAAATGGAGAAAGCGCAGTTAAAAATGGTAGTTAATTTTTTTCCCTTCTTCACTTTATTTCAAACAATTTAATTTTTAATTAGATTTTATGATTGCTATCTTCACAAATTTTTGAATGAAAAACAACTTCTTCAATCAGGTCCACGTGAAAATTCCAGGGAAATAGAATGTACGTAAGAAAAAGAATCATGAGAAAATCATAAGAAAAAATCTAATTTGTGAAAACCCATTTAAGTGTACAGAAATATTAATTGGTCGCATTCTCAAAATGTGAAAAAGAAAAGAATAAAATAGAAAATTTGTGTTTAATTACTTAAATTTAAGCTGTAAATGACAAAGAATGTAGAAGCTAAATGCGGCATGCATGTTTAATATTTTAACTTGCTTAACACTTTTTAAATGAAAAATCTAAATTTCACAGTTTAAAATACAATAAATATATAAATAATAAATTTTATTAAGTTACTTTTAATATTTTCCGTTTTGCACTTTTATTTATCTCGGGGAATTTGTAAACAAGCTAATGAATTCCATTAACTTATTTACAAATGCTTGCTTCCAGTAACGTATTCCTTGTGTGATTATGAACAAATTTTGCAACATAAATTAGTCACGATTATTATGATATATATTTCGGACAGAGAAACTGCTTTGACTTAATTCAAATTTTTGCATGACATATAATAATAAACCCCTGTTACAAATTATAAACAAATTTTATATTTTGTTAGATAAAAACAATTCACTATGCTTTATATAGGTAAAAGCAATGCACTATGCTTTATATAGGTAAAAGCAATGCACTATGCTTTCAGAAACATATAAAACGACTATAATACTCACCAGTTTTGTTGAGGTAATCCTGAATTAAGAACCCTTCCATGTCGAAAATATAAGTTACATCATTTATTTCCCGTCCTATCTGAAAACAAATGTAAATCCAAATAAAATTTTTGTTAGCAAAAAAAATTCATTAATAATATCTTCACAGCAAATTTAAATCTTCTCAGCCCATTTGCCTCTTGATAGAAACTTTGAAGAATATGGAACAACCCCCATGCTTCCTTAACGTTAATGTCTGTTAATACATATAAACAGTATAAGGTATTATTTCTCCCGCCTTCCTAGCGTGCCTTCATGGTGTAGTGGTTCTGGACGCTGGGCCGGTATTCCAAACCTCCGTGGTTCGATTCTCGGCGAAGGCGTTGCTAATTTTTCATCTTTCCTGCTTCCGAAATACCGAATGTCTCTACAGTGGCGTCCGAACTAAAAGGGTGTTGGATGATGATTCTCCTCACCCAGGATTTGGCGATTGGGTCCCCTAAAACCCCAGTCGCCCTTTAAAAAGGCGAGTACATAAGGTATTTCCCCCGCCTTACTAGCTTGCCTTCGTGGTGTAGTGGTTCTGCACTCTGGGCTGGTATTCTATAGGTCCATGGTTCGATTCCCGGCAAAAGCGTTGCTAAATTTTCAATTTCTCTTGCTTCCAAAAATGCCTAATGTCTCTGCAATAGGACTATAAAAATTATTAATTGAATTTCAAAACATTGTTTCAAATGCATTGTATACACAATAATAAGCAATTAATGCATGAAACGAACAGAGAACTGAGCAAATTCTCTTTTAACTGTGTTTATCCACACTACAAATATTACGTGTGCCTCGTTGGTCACATCTCAGTAGAAATATTTTTGCAACATTCCCTGACTAATGTTTATCACATTAGCGTCGGACAACCAACGGCCAAGCGGTAAAAGCTCTGAATGCTGGTAGTTTGGCCTGGGCACGAATCTAGGCAAACGGTTCGGCTGCATGGGTGCTTTCATTGTTTCCTCCATGTGTGACGTGTATACGAGACGGTGAAGTCGCTGAACGCTGGTAGTTCGGCCCGGGTTCGAATCTCTGCGAACGGTTTGGCTCAATGGGTGTGTTTTCATGTTTTTCTCCATGTGTAAAGTGTATACGAGTCAGTTTTCCTTAAAATGTTCTCCACTATGTCTCTCTTCCTTTAGGCAGATATCCATCAAGTTGTTGTTGTCTTATCCATATTATATGGAACAATAGTTGCCAGAGCCTAGTCCGAAGAGAGGTAGGACTTCGATTTTCCACCCCCAATTTTGAGGGAGAGCAACCCCTGGGGATCAGAGGACTCCCACCCCTCTCCTATCCCCCCAATCCACACGAGAGGACTTTCGGCTGGCCGCATATTCACAGTGTCGCCCTGCCGTACCGACACTATACATTTACAAACATCCATGTCTTCTTCAGGATTCGAACCCGGGCTCTTCGGTACTGTAGTAGGCTTCCCTAATCCCTATACCGTCTGGGCGACCAGCTCCCAAGTTCTCTGGCCGTAATTAAATTAACCAAATTACAATAGCATTGATATTTTTCCAGGATCGCTAGCAGTGAAGAGGGTTACGTAAACTCATCTCCCTTATACATTATTATTTCTGCGATATGAGATTAAGAGAACGGGGGAGACGACGAATACAACGAAGTTCCCTCATTCCCCTAATCTTTGAATTAGTCCACAGGGTGTTGCTTCTAGTTTTTACGTATTGATCAATGAATTTTGCTTCATTTTCACGAATATTTCAATAGCCGAATTTGGTCGCCCATGTTTTTCCTTTTGCGCAAATAACGTATCCTTACCGCTTAATGCATGTCATCTGAAATCTTTTTGAGTTTATGACACTTTTCATGAATTAATCGTTATTGCATACTTTGAAATATTTTGAAATATGATTAGTCATTTATAGTTTCCCTATATTATTTAAAGCAGAAATTATCAGTTCAGTAGTACATATACACACGTAAAGCTAGAGTGGCAGACTAAGGCTCTGTTGGAAAGAAACTCAGAAAAGAAATACGATGCTAAAAAGTTTAAAACGAAACTGATGTTTTTATATTCATTTACTAAATATGAATGCTTTAGGCTTTTCCGGCGCTTTGGCTAGAATAACTAGACACCTAATTTAGAATTTTACTATACTTGGAACTTTCTTTTTATGGCAAGCACTTACCATTTCAGGCTTTGGCCACTCCTAAGACGAGAAGCAGTGACGGAATTTTATTATGGAGGCACCTAATAGGCGACCACCGCTACCTCCTATGAAGGGACAGACAATTTAAATCCATGCCTTCCCCGGGATTCGAACCCAGGCTCTTCGATACGGCTCTAACTACTTTTCCGTATGGCCGCCACTTTATATGGAACTTGGATACACTCAAAAGGCTACTTCCAAACTTAATATGCAGCTCTATCATACGCACAGCGAACAAGATTGACATAAGAATTTGTGTCCGAAAATACGAAAGACGACAGCTAGAGGGCAAAGTTCGCAGGCTTATGAGAGGGCGGGAAGTGTGATCATTTCAGGGGAGGACGTTGAGGATGAATCTGTTTACTAACTCAGTTCTTTATGAACATTTTGTGGAAAGAGTGTTGCCGGACGTCATGGTTGATTCAGCATGAGGAAGAGCCTGCCCATTTTAGCAGCACTGCCCGGGAATATCTCGCTAGGACATATCCTGATCACTGGATTGGCAGAGGTGGACCAGCCGCAGGGCCACCGCAATCCCCAGACCTGACACCCCTGGATTTCTACCTGTGGGGATACACTAAATCCATGGTGTACGAGAGGACAACAACTTTGGATTTTTTTCTCCTGAATCGTGGAAGCGGCGACCTACCCATATTGAACGGGCCCGTGAATCCATGCATCGACGTTATGAAGCATGCATTGTGGCGAATGGAAAGAATTTTGAACACCTTCTGTTAACCATGTCGAACACAAGTCTTGTTTGTCATCGTATGACAGATGAGCATGTTAAGTTTGACTGCGACCTATTGAGACCCTATATACTGGAAAAGGAATAAAGTACTTATTACTTTATTTTAGACTCTTTTCAGTAACAGGAAAGGCAGAAGGGCTTTAAATTTTCCCTAACGAGAAGGAAAGTGAATATTTATTCACATTTTCTTGGAACACCGAACAGACTTTACAGTGAAAGGCTTTGCTAATGTCTAAATTATTATCTTTAAAGGAAAACATTTGATCAGAAAAACATTTGAATGAACAGCATCGCATTCACATAACTATAGTATAATTAAGTATTTTCAAATGAGCTATTATTATTCTACTATTTCCATCTCAAGGAAGAAATAAAGAGAATACACTTCATTTAAATTTTCATTAAAAATCGTGTTTCTTTTGCAGGTATACTGTATTACAGTTGTAGAGACATTAGGTATTTGTAGAGACATAATTGGAAAAGCTGGAGAGATGAAAAATTAGCAACCGCCTTCCCCGGGAATCGAACCACGGACTTCTGGCATACCGGCCCAGCAAGGAGAACAACTACACCTCGAAGGCACGCTAGGAAAGGGGGAGAAATACATTATATACTCCCCTTTTTTAAGGGCAACTGGTGCTTTCAGGGGACCTAATCGCCAAATCCTGAGTGTGAAGAATCCTCATCCAACACCTTTTTAGTTCGGGCGCCACTGTAGCCAAGTTAATTGGAAAAGCCGGAGAGATGAACATTAGCAACTGCCTTCGCCGGGAATCGAACCACGGACCTCTGGTATACCGGCCCAGCGTGCAGAACCACTACACTAAGAAAGCATGGTAGGAAAGCGGGATAAATACCTTATATAGTTATACTGTATTACAGATTTACTGCATGCAGTGGAACCTCGAGCTACGAGTTTAATTTATTCCAACATTTCAGCTCGTATAACAAATTTCTCGTAAGCAACATATAAATCAATTTTCCTAAAACATAACACTGGTAAATAATACCGGATGTTTTTCGGAGAAGGTTCAAGTACAGATTCCTAGCATTAGCAATGAAGCAAATGATAGCTTCGCTAACGAGTCGCCTTTTAACTGCTTCTTCTTTAATCCACACCAGCAACAGCTTTTCAATATCTTCTAAGAGTTTTGGACGATGCTTTGAAATAACGGTAACTCCTTTGGCCATATCAAGTTTTTTTAATTTCTTACCAGAATAGTGCAGATGGTCGATGTTGAAAGGCCGTAAGTCTTCGCCAATTCCGTCACATTTACACCACGCTTATATTTATCTATGATACCTTTTATTACTTTCAACGGCTATGGCTTCCTTCCTTTTCTTTGCAACACTATCTGAGCCAACAATCTTCTTAGGCATCGTGAAATAATTATGTTCACGTTAAATGTAAAAAACAATTAACTCGCAAGCGCACAAACACGTAGATCAAAGAACATTGAGTGATCTGATTAGGGGATTCCCCGAGTCGTGCCGGATCGGGAATCGTGCCACGCATGTCAACAACTTGGCTCGTTACTCGAGTCAATGCCCGTATTTAGAGATAATTTTTCGCTCATACTTTCGTCGTATCTCGAATTTCTCGTATATACAGGTGCTCGCGTCTCGAGGTTCCAATGTACTTTTACAGGTATACTGTAAGTAAACGTTTGTTAAAACCGAAAGATAAATAATAATACATACCCTCTCACTCTCTTCTCTGGCTTGAAGTATATCTAATTGCAACATATAGCATAAATAAGTACAGAGTGACAAGCTATCAAGAGACTTCACGAAACCTGAAGAAAAGCATTAATAATAAGTCTTTAAGTAATGAAGAACCAATTAAAGACAAATAACAGATGAAAAAATATAATGCTCTTGCTATCTGTCTATTAGAAATGGAATAATATTAGTGAAACACAGTGATAAACATTTAAACAGTCAACATGTTAAACACACAAAGTAAAGGAGGAAAAAAAATCAGAGAGAGGGGAGAGAGGAGAAAAAATATATCATGATATTTTACTGTTAGAAAATATAATTTCACCTCTGTTGTCACCTCTGCCCATAGCAATGTAGCGAATTGGAGTTCTGTCTTTGGCAATACCCAAAAAACCATTGTATTCGTATTTGATAAAAACCTGAAAAGTAAAAAAAAAAAGTAATTTTTACATTCCTTGCCAAATATGAAACACTTATCGAACGCTTTAAGGTACATAATAGTTGAATAAATGTTTTAAATAATTTATTTCTGCAACATTTGCAAAACCTCTTCGTTGCTTTAACATGGTTTGGTTTATTTAATTACGGCAAAGCACTCGAGGGCTATCAGCCTAAGGAGAAGGATGCTTTCGTGGAGGAAGTTCTAAGGGAAATAGCTCGTATACATGTTGCACATGGGGGAAAATCAGGAAAACGCCCATGCTTCCAACCCGTTCGCTAGCAATCGAAACCTGCAATGAACTACCAACGTTTAGCGGCTTTGACTCTCGGCTGCTAGTAAAGTCGTGCTTGTAAAAAAATGCCGCCTTCTTTTCAGTGTAGTCTTGCTTGTAAGAAAATGTCACCTTCTTTTCAGTGTCTTGTCTCGTCATTCAGGTTATATTTTTAGTTCTAAGAAATTACTATGGAATCCTCGAAATACGATGGATGCTGGCGAGGAGCTCAAGTCAAATGTTTGGAAGATTAGAAATCAATCTTGCTGTGTGTTTCATAGCAGCTTCTTAAAAGTAACGATGAACTACATGATTTTAAACTGAAAATACCGAAAGAAGACATTGCTCAACATGTTAATTAGCGATAGCTGTTTTCGGTCCATAACATACCTTTAACAGAGATGATTATAATGTCATAATAATGCAAAGGATATCTCTGTTCATCTGTATTCACTCAATGACCTTTTTCAGCAAACACTTTTATTGTTATTATTATCGGATCTTTCTCGTGGGTTTCAGTGAAAAGCATCATCAGGCAAAAAAATTCATAAAGATTCAAATTCTGTTTTAATGACGAATAGAGGTGTTCCCCAAATTTCAGAGTTTTTGATATTTATTTAATAATTCATGAGAAGCATGTTCCGTAAACTCAATGAAATTTTGTTTTACAGTAAAATAAATGAACAGGCATGCTGTTTTTTGAAAGAAATCTTGGCCGTAACGGTACGTTTTGTAAACATTGAGACTTTGCAATCTAGAAAATTATTGATTACCCAGATAAAATTTACACTGTAAGAGGAACTTAGTTACAAAAAACATATTACTGTGACTAATACGGTGTAGGAAAGACGTTGGCATTGAAAACAGCATACAGTCTTCTCGGAGTGGATAAACAGAAATCTTGTATACTTTCCTAGGGATTCCTGCACCATTCATCCTGCAAAACATTGGCAAGTTCAGTTCACGATGATGGAGGTAGATAGTGCTTTTCCAAAATTGTCCACCAGAGCTCAATAATATTGATATCTGGTGACTATATTGGCCGTGGTAGATGTAAAGGATCACCCTCATGCTCTAAACACTAGTCCTGGATGATGTGAGCGAAGTAAACAAGAGCTCTGTCGTCTTGGAATCACCATTGAGAATCACCATACGGCATCATCATTGGGAAACAAAATTTGTACCATGGGATGGACGCGATCCGCCAAAATAATCACATTATTCTTGACAGTAATGTGAGCTTGCACAGTAATAATGCATCCCATGGAATACCACGATATGGCTGCCCAAGCTATGACCGATCCCGCCTCATCTCAGAATGTTTCACTTTCGACACCAAGCAATCTCTATGATATGCTTGGGACGGTATTCACCAGACGTAAATTCGTCTAGGAGTCGGAAACAGTGTCAAGCAAGACCCATCCGACTAACTGTATGTTACTGCACATGATATTGTAATCTTATATTCTCCCAGTTCAGCTTAGAAACTTCCCCTTCAGAAATTACATTGTATGTAGTAAGGCATAGTTACACATAATATAATTGTTAAAAATGAAAACAGGCTGCTGAGCTGCTGCTTCTTATAACTTCATATAAAAAGAAAGACTGCTTTTCTATTTCTTGAAGCGGTTTGACCTCATTGAATACCGTTGTGAAATCTTTAAATTTTACCATCGGCTAAAATGTAAAGTTCCTGAACGCTGGTAGTTCATTCCAGTGTTCGAATCAAGGCAAATAGGTCGGCTGCATGGGCGTTTTTGTGGTCTCCATGTGTAACGTGTATACGAGACAGTTTTCCATAGAAAGTCTTCCACGAAGTCATCTTTCGCCTTAGGCAGATAGCTCTTGAGTGCTTTGCCATAATCAAATAAGCTAAACCAAACAGTCAAATCTTTAGTTTTGAAAACGGCGAGCTGGTCCTACATTCCTTACCATTTTATCATTTGAATGTGCATCGCTTTTATTTAAACATGACTTTTCTTTAAAAAATTATTATCTAACATTTAGGAAAGTGATGGTTAAAAAATTTGACTAAAGTATTGAAGCTTGAAAAACCGATTACAGTCAAAAGTCGTTTCAAATGTTCAGTTTCAGAGTCGAAAGTGTTTTTTTTCCTTTGATTTAATCTGATAATTTAGTTTCTTTTTTCGACAGAATTTGCATAAATGGAATTAATTTTAAACATCTTCAAAAATAGCATTTATCGGAAGAGAAGCAACAGCAGTTTAATAAAAATTTGCTGCTTTCTAGAATATTAATTTTAATATTAGAATAACTATGACTTATGGAAATTAGATAAAATTTGGAGCAACTTAAAATTAAGGAAATATATTTCAGATACTGATTATCGCCTCGTATGCTAACTAAATCTTTTTTTAAGGATAAATAATTCGAGGAAAACGTTTTAAAAAATTATTCCGTTGAAAGATTAGGTGAATATGGAGATAGCAAATAGACATTAAATATAACTAAAATATCAAGAAATGACTTTAGAACGGTAATTAAAACCTAAAGTGACTAAACTGCTAATTTTGTTGTGAATTAATAGCAATTAGTTAGCAATAATATCTGAATTAATAAAACTAATTAGCAATAAACTCGAGTAAGCTAAATCTTCAGTTTGATACAAGTTTTTTTAAAGATTTCAATAATCCGTCATAAATTTCTGCTAAAAGTAGGACGGAATTGACAGCAATATTGAACCAGCATATGGAAAAAGAATAAAAATATGGTGAAAAATAATATTTACAAGTATAATTTTAAATAATATTTTGCTTTCAGTGTTTCAGAGAAAATGGTGTACTGATTAAAACTCAGATTTTATTATCGAAATCTCGGAGAGATATAAATATGAATACATTAAGCAACATTTTTTCCGTATAAAAATTCTTTATTTTGTTTACATATTTTGAAATCATTTACGTTTCAGTTTCAGTTAATAACAAACCTTGGAGCTCTGTTTAGTAACATTTACTATATTTTGATTTATGATGTAAGGAAAACATTGCCGATAAAGAATTATGTCTGTCTATCACTAATATTTTCTTAAATACTTTAATTTATATACATATTTTATATAAACACAATAATCGTATATTATTTATATATTTTAATGCTTTATAACCCATCAATAATACAGTGATTTCTTTCTAAATTTTAACAATAAAAATGTGTTTACATCTTTCACTAAATTATATTAAGTACTCTGAAGGTTTGAGTTTATATATAACACTTTCTGGGCGAGAATAAACCAAATAATTCTATTTAATTTTGAATATTAATAACGGTATCTAACCAGTGCATACTATTACAATTCACACCTTTTTAATTCAAATAAAAATTACTTTTAAAGAATGGACATAGTTATACCTCTGGCTTCTTGTACGTTGTAACTATGGTGTCTATTTCAAAAAGTTTCCTACAGAAATAGAACTGAAAGAAAAATAGGAAATTAACTAGTAAAATGTTGCTCGTAAGGAGATTATCAATAAAGAATTACTAAAGTCCATGAAAACAAACAACTTGCCTATATTTAATTTATGAATACTGTAGGATTTGCTTTATTTTTCTAATAGTAATTTTTATTTTGGAACAAGCCTTTTATTTACATTCGCATTTCCCACCTACGTTTCCTTGCCAAAATGAGTTTTCAGGATTACGATTTATGCAAATGAGATAGAAACGAGTATTTAAGCTGAAGTCTAGGTCACTTCAGTAGAAGAGCGTGGAACAGCGTGTTAAATTTCAAAGATGCATCTTCACATCCAGGGATACGTTACACTAAAGGTGGAATGGTTTCTTTGGTTTCAACTGTGCTTTACGTTTTTATACTTTTATTATAGCTTAGCGGCTTGTGTAATCAACATGCTTGCGTTTCAGTTTTCCAACATTTCTTGTCCTTCAGTTTCTTCTATCACGGTACGCATATTTCGTAAGTGCACATCTGTATCGCCACCAAGGTACGCATATTTCGTAAGTGCACATCTGTATCGCCTTCTAGAATGCACCAATGGGCTTCAAGTAGTATTTCGTCATTTCACATGATCTTTACCACCCGTTGAGCAAGGTAAATGCATTTACTCTGTAAGGTTTATCCTAAGTTTTTAATAGTTAATTTCAATAATTAAGCCACTTTTCTATCCTTCTTAATTTCAGCTTACAATTTCCTGCCAGAACGTGTTTTCAGAATCGCGGTTAACTGCAAATGAAAGGAAAAGCAAGTATTTAAAGTTGAAGTTCTACTGGCTTCGTTAGAGAGCCAGAGATTCTGACAAGCGCGCATTCGCCTTTTGGGTTATACTCTCTCTAAAGCTATTTTTACGCTCGGCCGTATTTTAGGCTCTTGATAGCTTCGCTGTTTAGCGTTAAGGGGCAACTCCTGTAGATTTATGATAGCTTCGGCTATATCTCTTTAGTTAAGTTTAGCTAAATTTTATTTCCTGGCATTCAAGCCCAAGTAGAGGATTTTCTGTACGTCCTGAGAGAGGACCGACTGTGAACTTTATTTGAGCTATAAAGAGTAATTAAACCTTAGTTTACGTTTCTATCTTTCTGAACTAAGCGATTATTCGCTTACCAGTTCTCAAGGTTCCAGACATTTAGCTGTAAATTATAGGTTGGAATATTACACCTCAATGAATCAAATACCTCGCCCTCAATAAAAGTATTTTGCCACTCAATTTCCAGTACAAAATGATTAAAGCATCGTTGATTTCTTGTGAAAATTTTCATTGCGAAGTTAGGTAAAATATAAGAATGGTTATATACGTAAAAACCAGAAACCTTAGCATTTTTTACTGCAGTCTATATGAAAAAATAAATGTTCTGTAATAGCCAATGCGCAGTTTTATTCGAAGTGAATTTTCCTAATTTGCATTACTGCATGCTTTATACTGGGGTTAATTCCCAAGAAGAAAGGAAAATCTCTAATGACACACACATGTTGTTACATTACAGTATACTTTCTATATGTAACACACACGGGATCCTTTATTCACAATCTAATTGTTTTCTTTTATCCTCGCCTGCATCTACCACTCGTACCTGTAATTTCTCTATTATCCTTTCAAGGAATCGCATAACATTTAGTATTAACCCTGAAGACTGAATCTTTGCATAACGTTTGAATTTCATTCAATGTATTTATTTATCATCCGAAGGAAATTTGCAACTTGCAGGCACTTTCTTTCTTCTGTGAGATTGAATTAATTTTTAATTACAAGTCTGAAATTTCTTAAGTTTTCAATTTAGGTAAGAAGTGAAAATTCTCACTTTGATATATTGCATTAGTTTCTAAATTAATATTTCTGGAAAATTTAATTTTTTAAAAAATTTAATTTAATACTAGATTTTACATTGCTTATTTCTCAAAATACTTCATTATTGGTATTTTCCTTTTAGACCTTTAATTTTTAATTGCTAATTTCTCAAGGTACCACTTTATTGGTATTTTTTTCTGGACATTCTTCACTATGTATTTACTTTTGATTTTGACTTTTACCCTTGTCTGCATGAATGACGAAACACGAATAAAATGATTGTAGAGTTAGGTTTGGAGGCAACTTCCCCTTGATAAGTCTGTCTCCTGCCTGCTCAACAGTCATTCGCTTATGCATTTTTAAAAATTTTTTAGATTAATTTTAATTTGCTAAACTGGTGAATTTATTTTCATGGTTTGGTTTTGCACTTTATTTACTTATGCTATCTGAATTTAAATGATATTGTAGATTAGTTTGAAAATTAAATCTTTTATATGTTAGCACATTCTTTAATTACTTTAAATTTGCTTTTTTACGTATATATACGCTTTATATGCGTAAAAAATACGTATATATACGCTTATTACGTATATATACGCTTTTTTACGTATATATATGTTTGTTATAATTTGTATTTAAATTTAATTTATTCTTTTGAAAAAATTCTTTTGAAACAATATATATAGTATTAGATATATATTAGATATAGTATATAGCTAATATTAGATATATACTATATATTAGATATAATAGTATGTGTATTAGATATGGCAATGCGATATATATCTCATTGCTATAGCTAATACACATACCAACTAAGTTATTTTTACAATATTTACGTGAAACTTCTTTCACTATTTGTCACAATTATTAATTCCATTTAAGTAATAAATTTCTGGTTTGGTTTATTAAAGTTCGTATAGCCACTGACGCAGATAAAGGAGGGTAACAAGCATCATTTCCTGAATAAATTAACCTGAGAATTTCACAATTAAGTTAACATACACGGTTCTGAGCCTTAGATATTTTCAATCTTATATGAAAATATATATTACGATATTCACTAAAAACATATATTTTATATTTCAACCTATTGTGAAGGGGTATACTAACCTCTCGAAAAAGTGCTGCTGCTTTCTCCAAGTCGTAGTTTCTTGCTAAGCAAAGGAAACATTTTTATTGCAATGAATACTGTACCAAAAATAAGTAAAAAAATTTTTAAAATATGTTTCTGTAATATAAACTAAGTTCTTATTATTAAAATATTAATCGTAAAACATTTATCAACCTTCGTGATTAAAAACCTAATTCTCAGGGAATACAGTTTTAAGTTAAATGTAATTTCTTCGTATTGAAGTAAAGAGAATTATTTTAAAGGAATTCTATTTTGAAAAAAACATACATTTTGCGCATGGATTATTGTAATTTTTATTTGAGAAAGAATAACTTAAACTGAACATAAATTTTTACCTAGCGTAGGATATGATCAAAATTACAAAAACTTTATACAATCTAATTTAAGCTAATTACTTAAGCATTCTTGTCAAAAACATTTTCTTTGTCTATTATTTATTAATGGTTCTTATTGTACCTTTCATGTTAAAGAAAATGTTAGATCTGTAAGTATAAACAGATTAATGTAATAAATAAAAATCTCTCAATACTACAAATTTGATAAAATCAGTAATATCGTGACAGATTTTTGAGTATTAATAATACATCTAGCTGAGCAACAAATCAAAGAGGAAAGCCGAAATTTCAAGGAATAAAAGTGTTAAAAACAAGTCAGAATCTACTCTGAAATTAAACAAAAAATGTGATTTTGTAAAGAATTTATTTTTGTGCAATTACTACTGTATGGTGATTATGTGCGTTCAGCAGCGTTAGATGGGGAATATATTAACGATGGAAAGATGCAAAAGAAACTGAGAAATATATTGTTGTTATTAAAGAAAAGAAAATAATCAAATTTGAAATAAAATGTAAGAAGCCACGAGAGCTTAGAATTAAGAATTATGTCAACAACCGAAGGTCTCCCATCCCTTCCACCAAACCACACGAGATGACTTTCGGCTCGCCGCATATTTGGAGTGCCGCCATGCCGCACCGACTCTATACAATTACAAACATCCATGCCTTCTCCGGGCTTCGAATCTGGGCCCTTCGGCGCAACTCGGCACGTAAGCGGCGCTAACCACTGTACCGTATGGGCGGTACAAGGGGAACCTTAGACACAGAAGTGAGTCATGACTTAACGGAAAAATTTTTGAAGTCGACGAAAAATTTACAATTTTAACTAATATAAAAAATTTACAATTATTAAATCATACAAACATACCTAGATGGGTTGGTGGAAGCGGTAAAGTTAAATTAACTTTGTCACTTTGTTTGTCTGTGACGTCAGTTAACTAACACATGCTGCCGCAGAATTCATAAGCAGTTAATCAATAAATGGAATTTCAGTACAATTAAAAAAACTACAACTACGATCAAAGTTTACTTCTGCGAAGAAGATTGCCATAATGAGATTAGAACTAATAGCAGCTGCATTTAGAGTAAGACCATATAAGTTAGGAAGAGAAGCTCTTAAGTTGGGAAATACATAATCTGCGCTTTTTTTTTCAATGATTTAACCACTGTTCATATTTGGATCTGTCGTTAGAGGCAGTGTAACAGACTTTTCAGTAGCAGAGAAACCAAAGTAAGGAAACTGATTTCCTCGAACCTATAACATCATCGAAACACATACCAGATGATCAGAATCCCGCCGATCACGGTCAAACTGACTCAAACGATGTTATCTTTTGTTAATGATAAGTTACTGCGAAGCTCTTAAAAAGGAAAAACTACAGAATCTAATCTGATGTTGATTTCAGTTAAAGATAAGACAACTAATGTGATGGATAATTTTTTCAAATATTGCCACTTAAAATAATTATCTTTTCATTGAAGGTAAAATAAGCTGAAAGATAATGTAGAGTTAGAACAATGGAATTATTAGGATAATATAATAAGCCTTACTTATATTCTTTAAGATTTGAATACTGGTGAAGAATGTTTACCTCGAAGCCATTTCATCATCTGAGCATCTGTATCGTATGGTGAAAGAATATCAGATAACTGCCTTTTAAACTAAAGAGAAAAAAATTCTTAAAAAAATGGCGGAAAAAATCTACTATCCTCATGCAATAAAAATGTTACAATGAATTTACACAATTTGCATATTTTTACAATACATATATAAACAGTGATGTGGCATTAAGATTCATATCGATTTTATATTGGCATATACTTTGTTTTCTTTTCTTAACGATGTACTCCTAAATAAAGGTAAACATTTGAATGATTTCTTAAAGAAACATCATATTGCACACTTTGTAAAATATGATCTACAAAATTAATTTTCGTTTAAATATTTTGATATAATTCTTTAAAATTTTATTACTTCTAATATTAAAATATGTTGTTTGCTCTAAAACAGTGATAAAAGCATATATCAGAAAATGTGAACATCTGTGCATTTAATTTTACTTGAAAATAAATTAATTTATTGACGTAATATTGTTGCTCAGATTTTATGCAAAATACTTTCGTTTTTATCTCTGATTTACATAAAATTTATTGAGTAAACTCCTTTCTTATTTCAAATTAATATTTTATTGGAAAGTTGTTACATTAGTTTTAATAGAAATAATGTGAAAAGTGATAGACATATTCCCAAACGATGCTGGTAAAGACGATTAACATTTTGATAAAGGTAAAATAACATAGATGATGATTTTCTTAAAAATTAGGTAGGACTTCTAAGGCATCATTTATGTTCTTTAAAGAGTGATTTTATGTAAATTAACTTTCCTATAGTTCTAATTCCCATTTTACTACCAGAATGTAAATTTCTAGCTCGCGTAATATAAATTGAAGTGGAAAAAAGAAGAGACTATTTAAAGGAAGTTTTTAGAAGGTAGAATCAGAGCATGTTCTGCTTGCTTGACACCCACGTTGCTAGTTCGATTTCCTTGTGACTAGTACTCAGAGGCGTTGTGTTATTCTTCCCATTAGGCTTGTTTTGTTTGTGTTAATAAAAGGGTCCTTTTCATCCTGTTCCTCTCTCTGGAGTACTTTCAAGGCATAGAGATAGATAATTCATATATAGTCTTTTAGAGTTTTGATCTAGCTTATGTTACCTAAGAAGACCAAACTCTATCGACTTATTAGATCGATTTGGATTGAAGTTTGCTTTATACATAACTGCAGTAAAGCATTATTATACGTAGGAGCATTATTGTATGTTGTGTAATACAGCATTACTAAAACATACGAGCATCTATCTATTTCTGCTCATAATAATGGGACTAGAATTGCTAACGCTTGTCCTTCCAAGAGTCTTAGTTTCTTTTCATTTGTTTCCCATTCTTTACTCCTCTTTCTTTTCTTTGTTGAATTCAGTTTCTTTCCCTTTTGGGCAGAAAGAAATGTATCAAAACATTTTAGCATAGTTGCCGACCCGTAAGTATGCTTTAGAAAGTATCTAAGTAATACTGAATACTAAATGTAAAGCGAAAGAAGAGACTATTTAAAGGAAGCGAAACCTAAGGATAAATTGCTAAGGAATCAGCGAAAGCTAAGGATAAATTGCTGTTACCATGTCACAGTCATGTCAAGTCCGATGCTGGATAAAGGATAACGATGAAAACGTTTTGGAGAATCATGAGTACCTTAAGATACTGGCATACGAACAAATATAGCTAAGAGATTATAGAGTAGAATCAATATCTTATATCATACTATTAATCTGTGATTACAAAATATTAATCTGTGACCATTAGAATAATTTCGATAAAGACGTATGTCACCCGCGGTAAAAGTTCAGGAAAATCTAATATGCCATTTGATGTTCTGTTGACTAAGAAGTTTCCTAATTTCGAACCTTACATTTGTTCTTTTTACAGAATTTTTTAAAATTGAAAATCAGTATATAATGTAAAATAGGCATAATACGTTTTCTCTTCTAATAATATTTTTGACAGCTAAAGAAAAAACAATTAGTAGAGTTGATAAATGTTTAAATCAGCGTCCAAAAGTTCAGCACATTTTAGCACAATATTTAAAGCAATTTATTTAGTTATTTAAAATCTTATATCGACTATACACAACGTTCTATTTCCTTGAAATTAAAAGAGATGAAGAAAGAAAATATTTTTGTTTACAATTAAAATCAATAAATATTAAGAAGAGTAAAAAATTGATTCTGATTTGCATTCATTTATTACTGACAAAATTCTCGAAATAATGTTCAGTTAAGCAACCTAGAGAACTGAGTCTAAGCAATTTTCATAGGCCTAGATTTCAAGCATTTTCTTTAAAATTACACTATTCAGAGATTTGTCGAATTGTTTTAGCTTCTCTTTTGATGGCAATAAGGTAACAGCGATGCTGTTTTATCATTTGCAAGTCAATAAGCAACAAAAATGCTTCAATGTGTCGTTTCTTACAACAAATATTTTAGCCACTGAAAGGGACCGGTTTATATTTCAGATTAAATATCTTTTATATGTTAAATATTTTGTACTACTTAAAGCGCAAAAAATCTATGTTTACAAATCTAGAGTTCTCATGATAAGAAGTGATTTTAACATACTTTTGTTTCCATAAATCATAGAAGTCTGTCCGTAAAATTTACAACACTGAAGCGGAAATAGGTTTTTAGCAATATTTTAGGTACTGACAATTAAATACTAATTGACCATTACATTAATTACTTATTGTAAGAGTGCAACGCTTTTTAATGATATATAATTACTAAATAAATACTAAAACATGTAAGTTACATTACTTAAGGGTTTGGAAAGATGCAAGACCTGTCTCAGATAATTGAATCTGAACTTCAACGAACAAAATCGTTTTTTACTTAAGGGGCCATTACACACTATCTCTTTTTTAGCGAATATTTTGTTGCGGAACAATTAACTATTTTAAACCATGTGTCCACACTATTTTTACGCTTTTTAATAAAATATTAATTCTATAATTTCCATGTTGCCACAAATATTTTAAAAATGGCTATTAGTACTTATTTGATGTAATCTCTACATGTAAACCAAATCATGATTTGATAACTTTTGCGAAATATTTTTAAAAAACGTATATAATATAGCTGCTTTTTTGATGAAATTTTTTTTTTTGAACACATCTATATTTCTTCAAATGTTTAAACAGTTAAAAAATTTTGGATAAAAACATTTTAAAAACTAAATGTACAAAAAAAATAAAACCTATTTTTGCGAGGTCACAAGTATGAAAACTAAAACTAAATGTTGCCAACAAATGTTGCCACAAAGGATTAAATTATAAAAATATCTGTGGCAACACAAACTTTCTGATTACTATTTCAGAAAGCAGCTATATTATGTAGTCAGCTGTAAAAAGTTCGTAGTAATTGCTTTTAAAATAATAAGTTATCCCAACTCTTGCAAAACAGTTCACCTATTCGAACATCTTATGGGTTTTAAGGTGTATGAGTCCCCTTAAAATAAATAATAAATAAAAAATAAAATAAAATAAAATAAAATACTATAGCTATTAATAAATAATATAATAAGTAATATAGCTATAAATTTCTAAATGGGTTTACTGACTTGCAATAAGGCTTCGCAATTGTTCTCATTCATATTCATCCCACTTTCTTCTTTCTTCAAATTATGATTTATTTTTGAACTATCCATCTAAAATATAGAGATATAAATAAAACATTGCTTCGTGTAATAAATGTAGTTCTTCAATAAAAAATAGTTTTGAATACTTTACTACTAAAAATTAATAATAAATCATTTTATGATCCTACTTGCAAATTTCAATTTTTAATACATTTTACAAAACTTCGGTTGGCGGTTTACTAGAATTTCTGAAACAGACTAGTACAAAACCATTTTGTAGAAATTTCCAAATATTTCATTGATTTAGCCGTAGCTGTCCAGATGTCCATCAGTGTTAGCTAGCTAGTAAGAATTTAAATGAAGCTAGCAAGTTTTACAGAGAGACACTTCATGCAAATTTTTACAGAGGATGTTACCACATTTTAGAACGATATCGGAGACGTTTAATTAATGTTCAAAATTTAATTACTAATTATTAGTCCGGGCAATTTGCCCTGAAGGACAGTCAGTTTCGTTTTGGCATTTTGCGTTGATTCGCTGTAGATGTCGGTCCGCTTTTCAAATTGTTGCCACCAAGTGTTGGAGCCCTGTATTGTAATTAGGGAAATTAAGTGGTAAAGAATCTGCATAAACGTATGAATCTTTCTCGCACTGTGGTGGGGCACGGTACCTAGAGCCATCGAATATTGAATGACGTGCGTTTCCGCCCGAATGTGGGCGTCTAAAGACCCAAATTTGGAATTTGTTTTGTTATCTGTTTCATATTTTGTAAAACTGTAGCGAGTTTTTGACTGGAAAACTCACCGATTTTGGTGGCGAGCAGTGGTGGTGCTGTACGTTAAAAAAAATCTTTCTGTTTCCAGCGCGCGAGGCTGTGTGTCGCGAGTTCTAGAGATGTGATTATTTTGCAATATTGTTCTTGAGCTTAATTTTGTTGTTTAAGTGCGAAGAACTATATGTTGATATAAATCAGGTATTGACTAATCATGAGAGTTTTCCAGTTTATTTCAATCGGTTCCATCTACAGAATAATGATAAATGCAGATTATGTGATAAGTTTGGGGACGCCAGGCACGTCCCCAAACTTACCCGGAGCCAAACTTACCAGGCTTACCCGGAGTGCAAGAGAGAAATATAGAAAGAATTTTAAGGAAGGCATTAAAAGGAACTATTCAAATTTGAAAGATTTTCCAGAGACAATAATAAAAATTATAAATACGAACAAAGACAGAATTGGAATTCGGCACTGAGACTCAGATTTTGGATTTGTTTCTTCTTATATTCCACTTTCTGGGAAGTCCCATTTTTTGATCAAACGACCGGCTTGTGCCGGCTAGGAGGATCGATCGGGGCTGTGCCCGTATAATGATAATGGTAACGATCATCTAAATGAATCATATTATTTACCTGATTTTCTTATGACTGACTACAGTTGGAAAAATTCTGTACAACAGTGACAGTAGGAAAGACCACTATAGTTTCATTTTTGAATGAATATAAATATTCGAGTCAGTATAATTCTCGTTTATAATAGAGTAACATCAATACTAGTCAGGTGATATTCTGTCCACCAGTCAGCTTTTCTCAATATAATGAATATCCATTCTGAGTCACCACTTTCTAACGTTGCGCTTCTGATGGAATTGATGCCCTTGATGAAACATGCTTTTTCTTGCAAAGTTCCAGAATAACAATTTAAGTGACATAATCATCCTTGTACAAGACTGGCATGAGATCTTTAAATAACTTCAACTTTTAGTATTGTACTGTAACTGGAAACTTGTATTTAAGTCCTGCAGGCTCTATTAAGATTGTTAGCGATATATCGCTTAGTCTTAAAAACAAATCCCAAATACTGAAGAAGGTTAAAATGGCCTCATTATTTTAGTGTTAAACTGAACAGAAAGGACACAGCTTGAGCTACAACAAACTCCCGGTGCCTTGTGGGCATTTAAATTAGAAAACGGTTGTTTATTTTTATTTCCTTGTACGAAGTAAAAAGGAAGTATTGTAATCGGAAACGTTTCAGGCATCATATTTCAACGCAAATATCCAATTTCACCCCTATCAAATGCAATTTAAAGATGTTTTTACATAAAATCTGTACGTGAGGATAGAATAAAGGACTCTTTTCCCCCAAAACGTTTGTAAAACTAATTTAAAATGAATACTGAAGAGAAATTTTCATGGCGTCTGTACGTATCTCGTATAACTCAAAAACGAGTAGTCCCAGAATGTTGAAACTTTGTATATAGGGCTGCTATAACATGTAGATGTGCACCTCCTATTTTGGTTGCTATCGGCCGCACCAAACGTATATAAATATATGTATATATATCCACTCTGTTAACCGGCTCAGTGATCTCAGTTTCTTTACTCTTATATGTTTGTAAGTTGTGCATTTTTTGTATTAAAAGTGATTGAATTATGTTTTCCTTATTTCCGGTTAAGGTTTTTATGCCTTTAGTAAATATGCATGCGATATTTTTAGTATTATCAACAATTTAAAAGTTGTTTAAGTGCCGCTAAGCCTAATAATTTTTATCATCACGACCATTGCTTGTTTATATTTGAAAGAGCAGAATAGTAGATTTGTGGCCAATCTAGAGAAAAGTAAGCTTCGCAATAACAAAGATAACGCTTTCTTTTATTATTAGGAATAAAATCATCCTTGATGCATTCTGGAATTTACTCGAGGAAATAAGTGTTTAAGATTTACTTCATAATTTTCAATACAGACATTTTGAGTTTTTATGTATTTTCGCCTTGTCGCGAAGTGAGAACTGAATTAATTGAATGAGAAATACTGAATCGTCTGTGAAAAACTGTTTCTTTTTTTGTTGCTGTTGTTCTTTTTCTTTGCTTAATTTCTTTTATACATCGCTGTTTTAGATTTATTATAGTATTTGAATAGAATACGTGGCAACGATTAGATAATTCTTAAGATGATGTAAAGCTTTTGCATTCTGAGTTAATGAATGAAATGCAACTCTGCTAAAGTCAACCTAGGGCTAGAGTGTCGCTATGGTAAACATATATAGTGAATTTTAAAGAGTGCGTTTATTCCATTGTGGTTTATGCGCTATCGACGAAGTTGATTTAATTTAATCCAATAAGTTTAAATGAAATGCAAAAAAATTGCGTATAATTTACAAGTTCCGTACAACGAAGTCACGTGGTGTACACATCACATTTTTTAATCTAGATAAAATAGTCTACACATAAATCAGACTACTACAAACTACACATAAAATAGACTAATTAAGCTGGCTCAGAATTTTACCGGTGCATATTTTAAAGTATCGGCTGTCAAGGCATTATTAAAGCCGGAATATAACTTTAGGTAAGGCTGCGAGAGTCAGTAATAACAAGACGCAGCTGCAAGAATTTTTATATGATGGATTCAAATCTCTCAGCTTAAATACACGCAACTAACAGCCATTCTGGTGAGGAATACAAGAAAAAATACCGGCAAAGTCTTGTGGAGTCATCAGGGTTTTTTTATGCTGGAGACGAGAAAAATGAGCAATGCCGTCGCCGGGAACATGTGCCCCTCGAATACGTGCTCAGTGTGCTACCCCGTTACACCACGAAGGAATGCAGAAAGGAGGGAGAATATACCTTATATACTCCCCCTTATAAAAGGTTACTGGGGATTAGAGGACACAATCACCAAATCCTGGTGGTAAAGGATTATCATCCACCACCTTTTTTTTTTAGTTTAGGGGGCCTCTGATTCATTCTTTTTTTTATGCGGGAGACGTAAAAATGAGCAATGCCCTCGCCTGGATTCGAACCTGGAATTTTCGAATAAGCCCTGAGTGTGCTACAGTTACCACGAAGACATGCAGAAAGGAGAGAGAAAATACCTCATACACTTTAAAAAATATGTTCTCTTTTTAAAACTTTATAGAGTCTAAATTATGTTTTCTTTTAATATAATTCTGTCTTTTTTAATATTTCGGGGACAGGAAGAGTAGTTTCTCGTACTAAATACTCCCTTGACCACCATTAATATAAAATTCCAGTTTTTCTAATTCAGAGTCATGGAAAAATACACGAGTGAAAATAAAAAATACTGGCCTCTGGAAAATGACATGAAATAAATTTCTTTTAATCAAATAATGCTAACCTGGTTTTGTTCAAAACGCATTTGTGTTCATTTCAGTATGTGTAATACGGTCCGAACAGAACATATAAGGAATTTAGAATATTATTAGCATTAAATAATGTTCCTAATGCACTTCAACTCTTTTACCCAAATGGCATTTTTATTTGATTTCTTAACTCCTTTTTTATTTCAAACCTTCGCTCTAGATATGAGGAAGTTTAAAAATCAGTAAAAAAATTAAGACGTGTGAGCATAATTATTTAAAATTATGTAAAAAATAAGAAAAGAAGTCTGAAAGCTTTCAGATTTTACATTACGTCCAAAGGGGTGGTATTTTATTTATTTTTCATTATAGATTACCCCGATTACGATAAGAACTGATTTCTTTACTACCGCATTTTAAGTTTAATTGATGACTGTTAACTATTCTATTCATCCATATAACGGAAAATGGTGACTATACATACTCATGTACAACTCCGTTCTGATACTTTGATTTGAAAAGATTCCATTGATCGTCATATATCCTCTGGTAGTAAAGATTTTGGAATTCGTCCGCAACTCGAGGATCGTGTATTGAAGTTCTTCGGCGAAGTGCGTTCCTTCCAAAAAAGAATCCAAATGAATACTGAAATCTCCGGCCAAGGTCGCTTTACATTCTTCATCGTATTGCAAAGTCCGAAAAAAGGCATCTGGTATATGATCGCTACTGAGGTTCGGTTCTGCGTGCAGGACAGCGAATTTAACTTTATCCTGCACGTTGGCTACGGCCATTTGTACATCGTTATAATTCGTTTGGAAATATTTCACGTTTTTATCAATCAATTTGCCGCTCCTTTGAAATATTTAAAAACAGCATATCTTCTTTAGAATTTCCGACAGTGTCGTGCGCTGGAGATAATTTTTTTTCATACAGTGTTGCCATTGTTAGCTTCGAAACCGTTGAATTTTTTAATCAAAAGAAAAAAAAAGTTAAAGTTTTACAAAATATGAAATAGACAACAAAAAAATTCGAAATTTAAAATTTGGGAGTCCAGGTGCCCATGTTCGGGTGGAGGATTACGTTACTCAAAATTTGATGCCTCTAGGTACACTCGTTTTTCACAGTATACAAACAGAAACATACATCATGCAGATTCTTCACTATTTAATTTCATTAAATATAATCTAGGACGATAATATTTGGTGACAACCATTTAAAAAGTGATTCGCCGTTTATCGTGAGAAGTCACAAAAAAATGTCGTTTTGATACTAATAGCCCTTCTGGGCTGAATACTATCTTAATTTGTCATAGATTTTGAGTAAAACTCTATCAAAATTACACTGGTGTGCATCTCTTCCGCTTAGTTTATAATTATTTAGTTTGAGATTAACTCGGTAATTAACTATTAACTTTGCTTCTATATTATCCGAAGAAAGTTTTTGTAAAATCCGGAACTGCATAAAATTCAAAGTCTTCCAAAATAACCAGGTTACCTGTAGCAAGTTTAATTATATTGAAATTGCCTTCATAATGGTTTACTAGCGTGGGAATTTTGTAGGTGTCTCTTCAAGCATTCGATAACGTTACTGCAAGTTATATTAAGCACGTTTAGTTGATAATGCATATTGTGTTGTCTGATCGTAAGTCTCAGTAACCTTGACTTCTGTACGTTTTTTATAAAAATTTAACTACCCTGTTTTAATAGCTATGTTTTAAATTTCGGGTTATCATCTAAAGGAGAAACAAAGAGTTAAGCTGCCTTACAATGTCGTTTAATTTTTATATAATACAAAATACAAATAACTGATTATTACTGAACCTATTCAGTACAAATAATTCTTTATTTTTGAAGATGTAAGTAAGATAAAATTGACCTATTTAAAGAAAAAGAAAATTAATAATATCTGAAAGGTTTCAGATTTTAATGGTCGCTTAACTCTCTAAGCGGCAAGGCCGTATATATACGGCGTAGAATATTTTTTGTGATATTTGTAAGAACGTATAGATCCGTGCATATTAAAATGTGTCGAAGAAATTAAGGCAATATATCAAAAAAATCTACCTGGAGTGTTTTTACATTAAAATTTAAAAAAAAAATTGTTCTCATATTAGTTTTGGGAAATTTGTGCTTTCTTAGCGAAAACCCTGGCCGCTCAGAGGGAAGGGGGTTGTTAAGCTCTCGCTAAGCTCGCTGCTGTCTACTAGGCTGCTGTCACACTCACTAATCCTAACACACTTTTTTTTGTGCTTTTTTAGCTTTATTTTCAAGCGCCATTTTCTTCGCACTAACGCCATCTACAATTCGACAGCAAAATTACAAAAATTTTAAAAGCAGCATGGCAGTATATGCTTAGAATTTCCGATGTAGCGTTAAGAGTTTGCATATATTTTTCTGTTTCCTTCAGTTTTTTCTCAGTTCATCATATCAATGTTCAGTTTTCATACAAAGATGGCCTTACAAAACTTTTTTTTTCTTTTGTCTTTCTATCATAAACGTTTTTTGCGTTTACTTTATTTATTAAATACCACCTTCTTGGTGCTTATAAAATTATATTCAACCGTAAAATCTCTAAAGGTATTTAAAAACAGCATATCTGTAGAAGTTCCAATAGACAGTTTCGTGCCCTAGAGATAAAAATGTTTTATTCCGTACAGTGTTGCCACTGCTCGCTTTGAAAACGCCGAATTTGCTAATAAAAAATTCGAAGTTTTATAAAATGGGAAATAGGTAATGAAAAAAAGTTACAAATTCAGGCTTTTGGACACCAATTTTCGGGTGAAGAACTACGCTATTCAAAATTTGATGACTCTAGGTACCATTTTTTTCACAATGCGAGAAATGTGCATACATTCATGCAGATTCTTTATTATTCAATTGCTTTAAATATAATACAGAGCAATAATATTTGGTGACAATAATTTTAAAAATGACAGATGTTTCGAGGCGCCCTTTCGATACTAAGTAATTAAAAACAGGCGATATTTCGGCAAATTTAAATAAATGAAAAAGTGTATAATTACACCGAATTCATATGAAAGGGAAAAGGTAGCACATCTTCATAAAAAGTATAAAGTAAATTTTGAAAAAACGGAAAAAATAACTGTTTATAATTTTTTATCTTAAAAAATGAGTTCTTTAAAAGTTCTCATAAAATAAAAATTTAAAAAAAAAATTGAAAGCTTTCAGATTTTATATTACGCCCGAAAGGGCGTTTTTTTGCTATGTATTTCAAACGGGATTTGAAAAGTCATACAAGCATTCAAAGTCATTCGACGCAAAATACCGTTAGATATTGTACCGTCTTTGCATTGCTGCGCTACGAACATAATACCAGAAATATAAAAAATATAAAGAAACCTAGTATAAAGAATAATAATATAAAGACATATCGGAAATATAAAGAAACCTAATATAAGAAATATAAGGAAATCTCGTGCATAAAATATCTGTGCTTCAAGATGCACGCGATGTTCATGTTAATAGATCGCTTTCAAATCGTTTAATTTGTTAATCAACATTTATTAAAGTTTTACAAAATATGAAATATATAATAAAACAAATTCCAAATTTGAGCTTCCAGATGCCCATATTCGATTGGAGGACTACGTTATTTAAAATTTGATGTCTCTAGGTATTATTGTTGCAATGCAAGAAATGCAAGAATGCACGTGTGAATTAACATTTAAAATTGAATTCTTGCACAATGCAAGAAATATGCATACATTGATGCAGATTCTTCATTATTTAATTTCTTTAAATAAAATGAAGGACTCTAAAATTTGGGGGCGAAAAATTTGAAAAGTGATTCCGAATTTCATATCAAACCAACGCAAAATGCCAAAACAAAATTATATCCCATCTGGTTTAACGCCCATTTGGGTAATAAAAAAAAAAACAAAGGTTCAAATGTAGTTTAAATAATTCAATTTTGTTTAAAATGAAATAGGTGTGTAATATAGCTAAAATTATGCTACAATAAAATAAAATAAATGTACTACCTTTAGCAAATAAAATACTGAACAATTTCCAGGACTGGCACTTCAGAACTATTCCTTCAGTAGTACATTCTCTTCTATTCTTCAGATGTCGTGCAGTGATGCTTTCTTACTATACTTTCCTTGAGGGCTGGCTTTGACGATAAGATAAGAAAGAGGGAAAATAAGTCAATATTTCCCAATAACGTGTTTTCCGAAATAGGAATGTATTGTTGGCATTTTTTGAATTGGTTTGTGACCCTTTAATATAATTAAGCAGATGCAGTTGTTGATAGCTTATTGTTGGAATTAATGCACAAATCACGAGAAAAACTATTTTTTCTTCCTTTCTTCATCGTTACTGAAAAAAAAAAAAAAAAAAAAAAAACGCATGTATATGTAAGAAAAATAAAGAATATGTAAAAGATTAAATTAGCAGGGGATAAATTAATTTCCCTTCTCTATTCTAAAAATAGTAACCTCTATTTGCATTTCGAGATTAGTCCATGTCTATGACCTACAAAATTATGATGATGTAAATGGAACTCAAATAGCCAATAGCAATTTTATAACAATATTAACTAATCTAATTAAAATGCTCTGAGAATCAAAACTAACTTAGTCTAGATTAAGATTTCACACATAACATAGCACACTTGCTTTCTGGGGTTACGCCTAACTTGACTGCAGTCTGTCTGCTAATTCTTTCTTACTGCAAATTGATCTAAAATGTATACTCTTTGGAACAGGCACAATTAATGCGCCAACTTGTTTGTGGCCGCAACATGTTTCGTGAAATAAAAGTTGAATTACATATACCTTGACTGCCAAATTTCGTACTCATTGTGGATCGGCGTTTCAGCATTCTGCGGCATCAAAATTCTTAATTGCGGATTCAACCGCCTGCGTTCTACTACAGAATTTATTACGTATATACATATATATATATAACACTCCACATACATTACAGATGTCTGTATATATGGGGTGTATGGAAGGAACGGCGGAATACTACGTATTTGATTTCACTCAAAAAAGCCAACTTCCACAAACGGGTCAGTGAGGGCTGCTAACACTATCAGTAATACATCTGCAAGAAATAAAACTGGATCAGTCATTGCATATTGTGCCACTGCTTATTCATCCATGCCAAGTCATATGCAGCCTGCCACAAGCACATTCATAACGTAAGTATTCCATAACAATAGGAGTACAGCCGCACACTCCCCCTCTGTATTCAACGCTGTTAACTATATTAAACTTTGTACATAGTCTTGTGTTGATTCGTATATTTTCAACTTTATTATGAGCTCCTCAGATGATTAGATGTTATGTCCTGCATTAGATTACGCGCTAGCTGGTCATACAACTCTGTTACAATTTTGTCTTTCCTTCACTGTTAAAAAAGATGCCTGTGCCGAGATCGTCTGTAAATCAAATTGTCTTGTTATCATAAACTTGAGTCCCGCTACATACAGACAGTTCAACATAACATACCGCATTTTCGTAGCCGTAGTTTCTTCCGATGAGTTGGCATCTGAACTCTAACACCCTGGTCGAAAGCCAACTCAGTCGATGATCAGGAGAATGAAAGCAGAACAAAAAAGAACGATTTTTAGACACATGACACATTTTTACGGTTGCTAAATTTCTTATATTTTGCAAGCAGGTATTAATGCAACATACGTAGGTGGATCCAGGAAAAATAAGTTACAAGCATCAGCATTTGAAAAATAGTTACTGTGCAGGGAATACTTTATTCCCAGAATGTATGTCCAGATGTTATCTAGCAGCGGTTTTGAGGGTACGTAGAGTTAAGTTCGCAAATGCGACAGAGCTTTAGAAATGGCAAGCCGTTTAGAAACGTGGTCTCGCTTGGAGGTGTGAAACGTGATTCGTTATCCTGGTCGATCTGGTGCGTAGCATACCGTTATTGCCGATCGTTATTGTTAAACCTTTACAAGTTTGCGTGAAGTTATCAAACGCAAGGGCCTTGGCTTGTTGAATGATGGCGCCATCCTTTTGCACGACTATGTCCGGCGCCATACTGCTCGCCAAACTCAAGAATTGCTGCAAAGTTTTAAGTGAGAAGCCTAGAGACACCCACCATATAGCCCAAATTTAGCACCCAGTGATCATTTCCTTTTTCTGAAACTGAAGAAACTTTTATCTGGGATGAGGTTCTCTTCAGAGAATGTGAAAACAGCTACTATGTGAATATAGCTACCAAGAATTGGCTCAATGGGCAGAGACATGATTTCTACGAGCTGGGTTAAACAAGTTGGCCTTACGTTCAGATAAATGCCTAAATAGATTTTATTATTATGTAGAAAAATGATAGGCAATATGCCCTCATATATATGTGTGTAATATTTTGGCAGGCAGGCACAGGAATGACAAATCTTGACGATATAAGTACATCAGAGTCCGGGCATTGTTGTAGCTGAGTGGAAGGCTGCAAAATGACGAAAAAAAAAGACTTTAGCTTTCTTAGATTCCACATCTTTATTTAATTCTCACCGGAGATCATTTTTACTTTAGAAGAGATTCTCCAAAATTACATATTCAATAGTGATTTAAACTAAGTAAGATTAAATTTAGACTTTCTACGTCATAACTGTTCGAACAAAGGAAAGATGGGATGAGCAGCACGGAAGTGTTGTAGCAGCAAGAGAAGAAAACAGTCTGACGAAAAGTGGCGCGCGCTCGTATTCATACGAGCGATTATATAACATGCCAGTATGTTTTCGAAAGTACTGGTCTAGAGGAAGATCCTAAAATTGCGTAAAGTTAATTATAGGTTGCCTGTTCGCGCAGAGGAAAGCCATTATATTTTTTATATTTTACACACACACACATGTATATATATATATATATATATAATAAAAGAAAACGTCAAAAAATTATAATTATTGCAAGCTGAAAATGTTGTTGCTTAAGAGGACTGTGTTAAAAGTATTAAAAACTTTTAATAAATTGAAAGAAAATTTAAATTTGTAATAGTATGCATTAAAATCGTACGTTTTAAAAAAGAAAAAGAATAGTACATATATAAAAATAAGGTAGAACTTTACACGCATAAAGAAGCATCTAAATTATTGCTGATTTCCTGGAAAAGGGTTGACATAACAAGTGGCATTAACACTCCCCCCCGAAAAAAAACATCAGCAATAATTCGGGTATGATCGTGATTCGTTTCCTTCGTATATTTGTAAATTTGAATATATACAGAAGCTAGGACTATGTCCCGAAGCCTGTATCATGTTACCTGCTCACGTAAGCCATTAACTATTTAACCTTAATATTGTGAATGAGAAGTTTTATGATTTCGTAAAAACTTTTCATTTTACTTATCCACATATTTATATATTTTGCTACAATTTTTTCTGGGAAGATATGCTTTATAAATAAAATAAAATTTGTTACCATACGCATAAATGTGGCTTGTCAAATTTAAAGTTGAATTTAGTATACTAAAGAGAAGACCCTGTTGTTATGTGCAAGTCAGTGGTTTTTTTTTTTTTATTATTATTTATTGATGTAATTTATTCCCTCTCTTTTCTGGGGGGGGATGTTTAGAAAATGAAATTTGAACGATATCAAAAACTCTGGGTACTAGAAGAAGCAATGGAGGATTTAATTTCAGACTCGGAGATTTTAGCTTTAAGTAGAGTAAGAAGAGTTAGGATTAAGTAGAGTTCGACGAGACGAAGCTATAGAATCCTAAGTTTCAAGACCACATTAGCAGCCTAGAACTGAATCTGCAGAATGATATGCATACTGAAAGTGGAAAATAATAACGTCGAAAAGACTCCCGAACGAGACAAAGATTCAACTTCAAAAATTAAAACAAACAAATGAAATATGAAGTATAGATTCTGGAAACATTTCCTCCAGTGTACCCAGAGTAATTTTTTTTATCGATGGTATTATTAAAACATTAGCGAAACAGAACAGAAAATAATTACCGCATATTCCGGGATATAATGCGCATCTATAATTTTAAACTACGTTTATTAATTGTTAGGCATATTCGTCTTATAACGCGCCCCCTTTTCTATAAGAAACAAACCTTAAAAATATATGATGATGCACTTATCTTTTAAGTCATTCATTCGAAAATTTTTCCCATTCGTTCAAACAGTGGTTTACTGAATTGAAGAGCAATAATGGAAATAATACGTGTGTGAGGGGATACTTGCGGGAGTAAATAATTCTGTAAAGAAGGTGGATGGTATTCAATGCAGCAGTGTTCAAGAATGCTACTCTATGGTTTTGAGAGAAGGGAACGGAATTTGAAGTAAGAATGCCCTTCTGATATGAATCAGTAGTCAGATGTTTTCTCTTGTAGAGACATTAGGTTAATTTTTTGGAAGCAGGAAAGATGAAAAATGAGCAACCGTTTTGTCCGGGAAGCAAACTGTGTACTTCTGGAATACGCGCCCAGGGTGCAGACCACCACACCACGAAGGCATGCCAAGAAGTCGGGAGAAATATATTATACTCTTTCTGTAGTTATTTGAAGCCGTCATTGCGAAATGAACATCGAACGCTTTAGTAAAACGAATTTGCTTAACTTGAAATACATTTGAACTAGTGTTCCTTTTAGTAGCAAATGTCGCTCCTGCCAAACGAAAAAGCATGGTGCTGGTTCCAAAGTTATTCAGTTTGTGAAAGAAAATGGAAATCGTCCTGCAGCAAGGGTGTTTACTGTTGGTGAAAGATGGAACATAACGAACTTTTCATGTTACCCGATAATGAAAATTTTTAAGTTTGTAAGGTTAGTTAGTTAGTTCTAAGCACTGGCCCCCAGCTCACCTAGTAGGCAAAACCTGCCATATGGCTATGATGGGACAGGCCAAGCCACAAAGCATAACAAAAAACAAAAAACCAAACAAACAAAAAAAAACATAAAGCAGATACATACATTCCAAAGACTCTCGGTGAAATAGTATATAAATGTCTATTTCCATTTCTGTGTTTTTTCCTAAGTTTAAAATCTTTATAAGTTTTACTTTCAGTTAGTTAGTATTATTCAAACCTTGTTTATATTATCAAAATTCATCTTAAATTTATAAGTTACTTCAGTTATTTATGTTTCTCGATACCAATATTCTTATTCTCATTCACAGTTTGCATTATACCTCTTGCAAATTTTCTAAACAATTTATAGTTACCAAATAAATTCTCAAACTTTGCAAATTTATATTTTCCTCTCACACTTCCAGTCAGGCAACAGTCCTCGACGAAATGCTTTGAATCGCCGAAATTTATTACAAACTTTACTATCATTTTCTGGGAGGTGGAACCTTTCAAGTAAGCAGGGAA